TTTTTCTTGCGCGTACTGTGACTTTGCAACAGTAGGAAGGCGGTTGTTACATAACCACATCTATAGCAAACATAAAGAACGAAATAATTTGGAAAAGAAAGTAGCGTTAAAAATAAAAACTTATCCTTGTGTGTACTGTGACTTCAGCACAGTAGGAAATAAAAGGTTGCAAAACCACATCCATAGCAAACATAAGGAACAAAATGATTTGGAAAAGAAAGTGACAATAGAAACAATTTACTCTTGTAATTATTGTGAATTTACCATAACTCGAAGCCAAACCCTACATAGGCACGTTTATAGCAAACATAAAGAACAAAATGAGTTGGAAAATAAAGTGACAATACAATTAAAAACTTACTCTTGTGTGTACTGTGACTTTACAACTAAAGTAAATAGTTATTTACAAAACCACGTTTATAGCAAACATAAAGAACAAAATGAGTTGGAAAATAAAGTGATAATAACAAAAATTTACTCTTGTAACTATTGTAAATTCACCACAACTATAAGCCAATCACTACAAAGGCACGTTTATAGCAAACATAAAGAACAAAATAAGTTGGAAAATAAAGTGACAATAGAAACAAAAATTCACTCTTGTAATTATTGTGAGTTCACCACAACAATAAGCCAAAGACTACAAAGGCACGTTTATAATAAACATAAAGAACAAAATGAGTTGGAAAATAAAGTGACAATACAATTAAAAACTTACTCTTGTGTCTATTGTGACTTTACAACAACGGAAAAGCGGTCGTTTGATAACCACATTCATAGAAAACATAAAGAACAAAATGAGTCAAAAAAAAAAATAGTAATAAAAACATACCCTTGTATATACTGTGACTTCACAGCAAGAAATAATGTTAATTTACAACACCACATCTATGGCAAACACAAAGAACAAAATGAGTCAGAAAATAAAGTAGCAGTAAAAACTTACTCTTGTATGTATTGTGAATTTACAACAACTAGAAAAGAAACATTACAAATACACATTTACAGCAAACATAAAGAAAGAAATGAGTTGGAAAATAAAATAAAACTACAAATAAAAACTCACTCCTGTGTGTACTGTGACTATTCAACCTTGAGAGCCCATGATTTACAAAAGCACATCTTTAGAAAACATAAAGAACAAAATGATTTAGAAAAGTGTAAAATGAAAAAAAAATAAAATTTAGCCTTTGAAACTTTTTTTATGAAAAACGTCGATCAAATTACGTCCATTTTGGGTTGTGGCTCGAATTTAACGATTTAATTGAATATTGTTTTGTGCCTTTTTGTACACCTTAAAGGAAATAAAAATTTATTATTGTCCTTTTGCCGTTTTATTTCACCATATTTTAGTTTTATATCCTTTATCTTTAACCTTTTAAGCATTTCATGTTACATACAAAAACTAATATTTAATTTTGTTTCACCAAAACATTAACCACATGTGGTTACAGCGAATGGTTTTTCTCAGGACCAGAACACGAAGTAACCCATCATATGTTCAACGAACATGAACCAAAACTAACTAATAAAAATCAAACTCTAAAGGATTTTTGTTGCATGTACTGTGACTTTGCAACAGGAAGAAAGCGGATGTTAGATAACCACATCTATAGCAACCATAAAGAACAAAATTAGTTAGAAAAGAAAGTGGCGTTAAAAATAAAAACTTACTCTTGTGTGTACTGTGACTATAAAACAGTAAAAAGTGGTAATTTGCAAATGCACGTTTACAACAAACATAAAGAACAAAATGATTTTAAAAATATAGTGAAAATTTATTTATAGAAAACATAAACAACAAAATAAGTCAGAAAATAAAGTTTCAATACAAATAAAAACTTACTCTTGTTTTTACTGTGACTATACAGCAGTGAAAAGGCGGTTGTTAGACAAACACATTTATGGCAAACATAAATAACAACATAAGTTGGAAAATAAAGAAGCGTTAAAAATTAAAACTTACCGTTGCGTGTACTGTGACTTCTCAGCAAAGAAAAACTTCACTTTACAAAAACACATCTACGGCAAACATAAGGAACAAAATAAATTAGAAAAGAAAGTAGAGTTTAAAATTAAAACTTACTCTTGTTTGAACTGTGACTATTCAACAGTGACAGGCTACGATTTACAAATGCTATCTATAAGAAACAAAATGCGTTAAAAATACAAAATAAATATTGTTTGTACTGTGACTATTCAACAGTGAAAACCTACGATCTTTTAAAAACACAAATTACAAACTGAATTGAAAAAAAATACAAAGTAGTAAATATATACTCTTGTTTTTTACACTCCAACTAAAAATATTTTTCTAGAGGCTTGAAGAAGTTTTTAAATAAAAATTAATAAAATGATGTTTTTAGAAATGTTCTTTTTTTAAGTAGGTACTTTAAAGTTTAATTTGAATATTTTTAACATACCCAATTCCACCTTGTACATGTTAAACACCCTTAAAGCAAATAAAATGTTAATATTGTTATTTAATCGTTTTATTGTTCTATATTCAAGTATTTTTGTTTTATATTTTTTATAGTTAACATTTAATTTTGTTTCAGTGAAATATCAACCATATGTCGATACAGCGAATGTTTTTTCTCAGGACCAGAATACGAAGTAACCCAACACATCATCAATGAACATGAACAAAAACTAACTAATAAAAACCAATCTCTAAAAGATTTTTCTTGCGCGTACTGTGACTTTGCAACATCAAGAATGAGGTTGTTACATAACCACATCTATAACAAACATAGAGAACAAAATAATTTGGAAAAGAAAGTGACAATAAAAACAAAAATTCACTCTTGTAATTATTGCGAATTCACCACAACTGGAAGCCAAACACTACAAAGGCACGTTTATAGCAAACATAAAGAACAAAATCAGTTGGAAAATAAAGTGACAATAAAGTTAAAAACTTACTCTTGTGCGTACTGTGACTTTACAACACGGGAAAAGCGGTCGTTTGATTACCACATCTATAGAAAACATAAAGAACAAAATGAGTCAGAAAAGAAAATAGTAATAAAAAAATACTCTTGTGTGTACTGTGACTTCACATCAAGGGACAATTTTGGTTTAAAACACCACATCTATGGCAAACATAAAGAACAAAATAAGTTGGAAAATAAAGTAATAATATCAAAAATTTACTCTTGTAATTATTGTGAGTTCACCACAACTATAAGCCAAATACTACAAAAGCACGTTTATTGCAAACATAGAGAACAAAATAAGTTGGAAAATAAAATGACAATGCAATTAAAAACTTACTCTTGTGTCTATTGTGATTTTAAATCACCGGAAAAGCGGTCGTTTGATAACCACATTTATAATAAACATAAAGAACAAAATGAGTCAGAGAATAAAATAGTAATAAAAAAATACTCTTGTGTGTACTGTGACTTCACCGCAAGAAAGAATGTTGATTTACAACGCCACATCTATGGCAAGCATAAAGAACAAAATGAGTTGGAAAATAAAGTGACAATACAAATAAAAACTCATTCATGTGTGTACTGTGACTTTACAACACCGGAAAAGCGGGCGTTTAATAACCACATCCATAGAAAACATAAAGAACAAAATGAGTTAGAAAAGAAGGTAGCGTTAAAAGTAAAAATTAACTCTTGTGTGTACTGTGACTATACTACAATGAGAACCAGCAGTTTGAGAATGCACGTTATAAACGTGCATAAACAAACACAAAAAGAGATAGATAAGGGAAAAATAAAATAAAAATACTTGAAGCACTTTTATCTTGATAAATATTAAAATATTTTAAGTATATACTGTTCTGTAGAATTTTCATTCTGCACATTGCACATTTTTAGACATTTTATGACATAAAAACCTGTATTCTTTGTAACAATAAATAATACAATAAACTTATTTAGTTTCATTAATAATAGTAACAAATAACTAATTTTAACTTTAAAAGGTACCAAATTAAGCTAAAATAAATATTTTGTTCCAGTAAAAAATACAAAAATAAACCCCCCTTATAAATTACCTTGTCCTTTGGCCGTTTTATTTCACCATATTTTAGTTTTATATCCTTTATCTTTAGCCTTTTAAGCATTTTATGAAACATTTAAAAACTTATATTTAATTTTGTTTCAGTAAAACATTAAGCATTTGTGGTTACAGCGAACATGAACAAAAAATAAATACTAAAAATGAATCTATAAAGGATTTTTCTTGCGTGTACTGTGACTTTGCCACAGTAGGAAAGCGGTTGTTACATAACCACATCTATAGCAAACATAAAGAACAAAATAATTTGGAAAAGAAAGTAGCGTTAAAAATAAAAACTTACCCTTGTGTGTACTGTGACTTCACCACGGTGGAAAATAAAAGGTTGCAAAACCACATCCATAGCAAACATAAAGAACAAAATGATATGGAAAATAAAGTTTCAATAAAATTAAAAAAATACTCTTGTGTGTACTGTGACTACAAAACTGTGATATGGCAGTTATTACAAAACCACATCTATAGGAAACACAAGGAACAAAACGAGTTGGAAAAGAAAGTTACGTTAAAAATAAAAACCAACTATTGTGTGTACTGTGACTACTCAACAGTGAGGACCCATGATTTACAAATGCACATCTATACCAAGCATAAGAAACAAAATGACTTAGAAAAGAAGGTAGCGTTGAAAGTAAAAACTAACTCTTGTGTGTACTGTGACTATACTACAGTGAGAACAAGCAGTTTGCGAATGCACGTTTATAACAAACACAAAGAACAAAATGAGATAGATAAAATAACATAAAAAGACTTAAAGCACTTTGTAAATAATAAAATACTGTTCTGTAAAATTTTCTGCACATTTTTAGACATTTTATGACATACAAACCTGTAATCTTTGTAACAATAAATAATACAATAAACTTATATTATTTATTCATATTTTGAGCAATGGAATCCTGTATTAAGAAAGTCATCACATTAAAAAAGATAATTTATTTAAGACAATAAAACACTGTTTTTGGTATTAATTTATTATTTAGGAAGATCTTTACACATTGATGTATACTTAAACTTCAAGTACGATTCACCTATACTGAATAGATTTAATAAAGTAAAATAATTTAATTACAATACTTGAGATATTGGCATCAAAATTCTAAAACCTATCAGTAAAAATAATACAATAACATTTGATTTTTGGTTACATAAGCTTAAACCTATATACACTCACATTAATTAATGAACAATTTAGTGAATATTTTAAGCACACTTTATTATAAAAAAGTATTATATCCCAACAAGAGGAACACTAAGAAAAGTTAACAAAATTGTGATTATAATTTGACTCTATAGTTCCCTTTCATTAGTGAATTTATAAATAGAATAAAAAAATTCTTAATAATAAAAATTTATTTAAAACAATTTAAGATTTTTTGTACAAAAACTTAGTCTTAACTTAATCTCTTCAAGCCGGCAGTTGGAGCTTCTTACCATGCAAAACTAAAAAATAAAAAAGTATGTTTTAATAATAAAGTTATGATGATATAATACACATCTAGCAAAAATGTCAACTCAGCTGCCTTATTTAAGTTAAGAGTTATACATAGCTTAAATTGACAACCTGTTGACATTCTTAAGGCAGTTTTAAGCTTAATAACTGTCTTTAGAATGTTAATTTATACTAAATATAAGTCTTAAGACAGATAAAACTGCCTTAAGAATGTCAATTTATACAAAATATGACATTCTTAAGACAGTTAACAGCTTAAATTGACATTCTTAAGTTACAGCAAAGCAATATTTTTTATTTGCATATTCCATTACATTTCTCAGAATTTTTGTAAAAATCCAAGTCCAGTTAAAATGATTGAGTAAAAATATTATACCATAATATATTATGCCATAATACATATGTACATTTTTTTTCAAGGGAATACTTAAGTAGTCAATTTTTTAATTACTGAAAATGTTACTCAAATGGTGTGTGCTGGGTTTAATATTAGACCCCTGTTATATCCATGTTGACATTTTTAAGGCAGTTCTGTGGGTAAAAGGCATAAGGGGATAAGTCTAAAAAAGCAATTTTTCAATAGGGTTTTTAACGTGTTCGCATTAATTCAGGAAATATATTTATGTTTAGCGGGTATACGCTTTTGTTACGATATGACATGTGCTAACAAAAGGGTATACCCGCTAACCATAAATATATTTCCTGAATTAATGCGAATACGTTTAAGGTCTCTACTGAAAAATTGCCTTTTTGACTTATCCCCTTATGCCTTTTACCCACAGAGTTTTTAGTTGACATTCTTCTTAAGACAGTTATTTTAGCTTATAGTAAACATTTTTTAGACAGTTATATTTAGTATAAATTAACATTCTTAAGAGAGTTATATCTAGCTTCAATTGACATTCTTAAGACAGCTATTTTTAGCTTAAAGTGAAATTTTTATGACAGTTATATTTATCTTTAGTTCTTAAGACAGTTTTTTTAGCTTATAGTAGCCATTCATAGGACAGTTATATTTGGTACAAATTAACATTCTTAAGACAGTTATAATAAGCTTAAAGGGACATTCTTAAGGCAGTTTTTAAACAGTTATATCTAGCTTAAGTTGACATATTGATAAGGCATTTTTTAAGACAGTTATATCTAGCTATTGACATTATTAAGAAAGGTATATTTAGCTTAAATTGACAATTTTAAGGCAGTTTTTATATCTAGCTTTAGTAAATACTCTTAGGGCAGTTTTTAAGACAGTTATATTTAGCTTTAGTTGACATATTTAGCCTGTTGATATTCTTAAGGCATTTTTTAAAGACAGTTATTTCTAGCTTTAGTTGACATTTTTAAGACAGTTATATTTAGCTTAAAATAACATTCTTAAGACAGGTTTTGAGACTAGCTTTAGTTGACATTCTTAAGAGTTATATTTAGTATAAATTGAATTATTAAGAAAGGTATATTTAGCTTAAATTGACAATCTTAAGGCAGTTTTTATATCTAGCTTTAGTAAATACTCTTAGGGCAGTTTTTAAGACAGTTATATTTAGCTTTAGTTGACATATTTAGCCAGTTGATATTCTTAAGGCATTTTTTTAAGGCAGTTATATTTAGCTTAAAATAACATTCTTAAGACAGGTTTTGAGACTAGCTTTAGTTGACATTCTTAAAAGTTATATTTAGTATAAATTGACATTATTAAGAAAGGTATATTTGGCTTAAATTGACAATCTTAAGGCATTTTTTATAATATAGCTTTAGTAAATACTCTTTTTAAGTTTTTAAGACAGTTATATTTAGCTTTGGTTGACATTTTTAAGACAGTTATATTTAGCTTTAGTTGAGATTATTTTAACAATGTTAACCCTTTTAAAATGTTGATTATTTCAGCTTAAAAGACACTTGTCAAAAAAATTGCGTGGTATGGCCATAGTGAGCCATTTTCGGAACACCCTGTATAAATATAATGTTTTAAAGTATTTTGCATTTTCAGTAGTTCAAGCTTAACGATTTTTAACAATCAAATAAATAAATTTAATTAAATGATAACATAATAATATAGGTACCTACTACTTTTTTCACTATTATTGTTTTAATTTATGTTTAGGTAGCAATTTTTTTTTACGCCGTGACTAGAAGTACACCGGGAGTACCGCTATTAAAAGTACATCAGGTTTGTGCGCATGCGTGTTTCCATAACAGCTGATGGTAAAATTTCGGATTTATTAGTTGACATTAAATTGGTACACTAAGGCCCAGTTGTATAACAGTTGGTAAAGAGCTGGTTAACTCTTGATATTAATTATGTAATTATTAAGCTAACTTTCAAGTTGTATAAACATTGATTAAAATTTAATTAAGTGATTGAAATACAATTAACAACAAAATTAATGAAATGTCAGTATGAATTACCCAAACCAACCCAAACTCAACAACCCAACCCAACCGACCCCGCCCCATTGGGCCCCCTGCCCCATTGAGCGACCATTTAATATTATACAATTGAGAAATATGCTAAATAAGGATTTTTTTCCACCCGGTGTACTTTTAATAGCGGTACTCCCGGTGTACTTCTAGTCACTTTGTTTTTCGCATTATTTATCTGTCTTAAAATGCAATTTAAATAACATTACTGATATTTTATCAAAAACCTGAATATAATCAAACAAAAAATTAGCATGTAATTTATTTATTTCATAAACACATTTTCAAGGTTATACTGTCAAAAAAATATATTTTGTGGTTATTTCTTAGTGACAGATAACCTTAAAAACATCTGTCAAATTTTGACAGCAATTTAAGCGAAAAAATATCTTACCTTTGGTGACATATAAATAGAAGAAATCGCAATACAGCACAGTCTGCACTACACCGGCAACGATCGCAATTAAATCGTAGTGACTTTCAGTTGCGTAACGGTAAATCCAGTTGAAAATGTAGAGAGCCCTGTACGAGCCCAAAGCAAACAAATAGTGCGAAGTGATGCTCTCAGCCTCACCTGTCTTGCTGACCATGAACAGTTGCGGCAAAATAGCAACTGATTCCAAATAAATACTGAAAGTCCACAATATCTACAAAAAAAACATAAAAATATGTTTTTTAAAATTTAACTTGTTATACCTCTAGAATGCTGAATTCGTGGTTAATAAGCAAGGCTAATACGAACGCGGGGGCAACTAGGAACTCAATTCTGAAAGTGTCGTGGTTTTGGTCGTAAGTTGCCTTAAATTTCATGTAAATTAAGTAAATTGTAGCATACGATGTGGCTAGGAATATAAATTTCATGAATGTATTGTATAAAGACACATAGGCTGTCAGCAAGTCCAAGTATCTAGTTGTGTAGACGATCGCGAATAGTATTTGACTTTTTCCTGAAATTCCTGAAAGAAAATAACGAAATTTAGGTTAATTGCAGGTAAAAATATCGACGTGGATGTTCGTAAATGAAAACGATAAACGATTCGCTGATAAAAATATTCCCCAAGGCACAAGCGATAAACCACGCACTAATTTAACAAATTAAAACAATAAACCATAAAAACGATCAAAACTTAACACCCGGTAATATCCACACCAAACCATTAATTTTCGCTTACCCGCGCAGGATCTCGTACGCCAAATTTTCTGCAGAAGGATTATTATAGCTATTAAGTGGGATATATCCCCGGTAAGCCTAAAAATATTCATCTTTACCTAAAAAATAACTTATCAACCCGTCAAAACGAACTTGTCTGCCGAGTGACGTGGCTTTATTCCATGTTGTGTTTATAGATGGCGCTGCGAGCGTTTCGCTGCAGACTGCCAACGTGACAACACAAAAATTTGAATTTTTTATCTTGAGAAATTTTCTATTTACTTTTCATTGTTTTTATAATATTAAATAAAATAAATACACAAGGAATAAAATAATTACAAAAAAGTCACTTAATTAAAAAAAATGTCGATATTCTTCAATTAACGGGTTTTCTAATTCTTTTATGTCTATGGTATTTCAAAAGTAAACAAACATGGTTTCTAAATTCACTTTTAAATTTCCGGGCTTAAGTGCATTTATTTTAATTGAATTGATGAATTTATAATATTGAATAAATAATGTTTAATTAATAAAAAGCTATTAAAGCAGATATCTCTGTGATTAAGTTGATAATATTTGAAGGTCAAATTATAGATAATATTTTAACATAGGTATAAAATCTGATTTTAATTCTAAAATTAATATTTATTTAAAATGGCAAGTACTGATATTGTTGTTGTTGGTTCTTGTATGATTGATTTTGTAAGGTATTTATTTATTATTAAAAAAAAAGTTTTATTCTTTGCAATATTTTTATTATTCAGTTATACATCGAGGCTTCCCAAAGTAGGGGAGACAATACATGGCAGTAAGTTTGTAACGAATTTTGGCGGCAAGGGGGCAAACCAATGTGTCGCTGCGGCCAAACTAGGTGGAAAAACCACTTTAGTAGCTAGAGTAAATTAATAAAATAAAAAAATAAATGCAAAATAATATTTCGCAAATTTTAGGTGGGAGATGACATATGGGGTGAGAAATACATAGAAAACCTTAAAAGAGAGAATGTTAACACAGAGTTCATAAAAAAAACTGACAACTCTACAAGTGGCATTGCCCAAATAATAGTATCGGAAGCTGGAGAGAACCAAATAGTCATCGTAGCAGGGGCAAACGCAAAACTAAACGCAAATGACGTCATCTCTGCCAAAAGTGCGATAGAAAGAGCTTCAGTTGTTATCCTACAGCTTGAAACTTCCGTTGAAGTTGCCATAAAAACCCTGGAACTTTCAAAAGGGGTAATGATTGGAAAAACCGACAAAATAAAATAAGTTATATGAATTTTAGATTTCCATATTAAACGGAGCGCCAGCTTTAAGTACTTATGATTTAAAACTATTAACTTTACCAACTATATTTTGCGTAAATGAGACTGAAGCTGCCATTTTTACAGGGTTATCTTCAGTAAATAATGTTAGGTCAGTTTTTTACTATTTTATCTTTTACTACATTTATTACTATATTTTATTAAGTAAAAAAAGTGAGGTTAAAACTGTTTGACAGATGTCAAATTGGAAAAGTGAGGTTAAACCTGGTAAAAATTTTTGAAAAAACTACTTTGCCTTTATTTTTCAATATAACCTATTTTTTTCTTACAGTGAAGCTGAAACAGCTGCAAGACACTTAATAGGCAAAGGTTGTAACAGCGTACTTATAACTTTGGGGCCACAGGGCGCCATCTACTTAAATAAAGACGACCACAAGTTGTTGCATGTTTCTAGTCCGAAAGTACAAAGTGTAGATACCACAGGAGCTGGTGATGCTTTCATTGGTGCCCTAGCTTTTGTTCTGGCCAATCAAAAGGGGGTTACCATGGAGATGGCAATGAAAATTGCCTGTCATGTAGCAGCTGATAGTGTTACAAGAGCTGGTACCCAAATAAGTTTTCCAAATGCTAAAATATTGCCCAATATTAAATAAAGCAAGATGTAGCTAGGCATATAAATGAGTTTTATTTATTTTATTAACACAACAATTACCTTAATACCTAAAATGCATTTGGGTTACTATAAAGCTACAAATATATTATTTACAAGATACATTTTTATTCTTAAGAATTATTTTGAATTAAATAACTAAATTTGTTCTGCAGTGGCGAAATTGTAGCCCCCGGTTTTACTTCCAGATGCTTGGGGGCCGGTTTTATCGATATCTTCGTAAGCTTCACGACCCCCAGCCAGTAAACCTAAAAATTATCCCCTATGATGAAAACATCGTTTTATATTTAATTTATTATTTTGGTAAAAATTAAATACCTGCTCCGGCAGATCTTGTTTCCAGATCCCTTATAAGCAAAAAAGTGCTGAATGGTCTTACAATCATATGCAAAATACACATGGCAACTGAAAAACGTTCACGGGCCTCTGAAATATAAAACGTTCACACAAAATCATAAAAATTAAAATAAATACCAACCATGACTATTTGGAAAACTCATAACCAACAATAACACATCCAAAATAATCGAACAACCATTCACGACGATTGCCTTAAATTACAAAACGTTACAATCTTATATAAACATTTTAATTTAAAAAAAAATATATAACATACCAATTGGAGAGGTTCTTGCAGTTGATCGTGATGTATACTCCAAATCAACAGCAAAATTAATATGGCATTGTAGAAGAAATAGGCGTTTGTGGCCCAATACCCCATCAAACTCAAAGCAATAAAGCAAAAATGTATTAGGAAAATAACCTACAATAAAACGTTTAATTTTCGCTGATAATACATCGATTTGCTCACCTTCAGGTTAAAATTCCGTATTTGTGAAGTACTGGGCATTTTTAAGCTCTATGGGGCTTCTAAAACTAACTTAAAAGGGAAAATATTAATCATAAAGAAACGTCAAAATTTGAGATCAAAACAATACGTGCTGCCCTCTATAGAAACCTAAATGAACTATGAAAACAATTTAATCTATTAAAATTATGTTACTATTATATATTATATGTATTTACTGGTTCAGTTTGTATCATTTAATAAAGACGAAATAAAAAAACATACCGAACTGTCAAAATAACAAAATAAACATAACCTTCTTTATCTCTGACATAACCCTACTTATCAATTTTGACGTTTATCTGTGAAATTATCGCACAAATTTTAATTAAATTATGGGTATGGACTTTTTAATTTAATAATAATAAAAAATCCAGAAATAAATATTTTATGATAGTATAATGTATTCATATTGTTTTAGATTATTATTCAAGCAATGGACTTTAACCCAAATAAAAAAATAAATAAATTATTTGCAAAATAGCTACAAACAAATTGAGGCCACACAATGAATCTAGACGACGTAATTTATTTGGGCCTATTATTATCCACAATCGTATTTGGTTGTTTTTACAGAAAAATCAATGATCCTAATTTAAAAAAGAATGTTGGGAGTTTGGTGGGGTTATTGGTTATTCTTTCAGTGTCTGGAGTTCATATTTTGCACCCTCTCCTTTCCACGGTGATTGCGGCGCAAATTATTCTGCATGTCAGCAAAAAGTATGAGCACTTTACTGTGTTTTTTGTAATAATTTTTGTGTTTTAGAAAATGCCACATTGCGACGTTTGTTTTTTGCTTTTTGTATTTGTTTTTTTTTCGTACGACGGTACATTTTGGCGTACCATACCCGCCAGCTCATACAAACTTAATCCAAATGATATTAACATTAAAATTGGTGGGATTATCTTTGGAAGTAAGCAGTTCCCATGAAAATAAAAAAAGGAAAGATTCCTCGAGTAAAAGTGAAGAAGAAAAATATGAAGAAAAACACAACGATATCGACAATCTTAAATTTATAGACATTTTACACTACTCTTTTAACTATGTGGGTATTTTAACAGGACCATATTACAGATACAGAACATTCGTAGATTCCATTGAAAAACCATACATTAAATATGACAATTGGAAGGATAATTTAATAGAAAAATTAAAGTATGTCCCAATTTTCGCCATATTTTTTCTAGTTGCCAGTCATTATTGGCCTTTATCAGTAAGTACAATTTTCAAACTTTGACAAGTAAAAATAACCTCTCTTTTTGCGTTTATTTGATTGGAGAACTAACACAGTGTTGCCATTTTTATATACAGTGGTAATTGAGTCGTATAGATTCAAAACCCGCCAAATCCATTTATTGAAAATAAAGGACAGAAGACATGTTTCCATAACAACATAATTAATATGTATTGCAAACATATCTACTGTCCTTTACTTTCAATAAATGGATTTGGCGGGTTTTGAATCTATACGACTCAATTCTTTTAGTACGCTTTGTCCGACGAATTTTACAACGAAAGATCTTGGCTCTACAGGTACTGGTACATTTGGCCTAATTTTTTTATTTTTCGCATGAGAATTTACATCGGTTTGTTGCTGTCGGAATCTGCCTGCGTTACGGCGGGTTTGGGGCTCTACCCCGCCATCACGCAGCCCAAATCGGGGCACGGGCCCTCGCAACAGTTCAAATGTTTAGTTGAAAGGTTAGTACAAAAAGTGTTAAAGAAGCATCGCTAGTAGCGCCACCATCATCGTAACAAATAACTTTTAATAATCAGCTGTCAAACGCTTATTTTACAAACAAGTGTAAATTTAAACAGCATTTAGCATTATCAAAAGCGTTGATTAAGAAAGTCTCCACTCAGCGGTAAAATACCATTATATTATGTATTATATATAATATTATATTGCCATGAATTCGTAGGTATATTTTCTGTTTAAAATGCAGTTGTCGGCGTTTTTTAGAGAACTCTAATATAAAAATCACAGAACATAAAAATAGTTGATTTTAAGGTTATGTTTGTGCAAAAATTATTTTTTACCAATTTCTTAAAAATGCCCAAACTTAAATATAAATTATATTAGTTAATTCTGCACCAACAAATGTACTTACCGAATTGGATCCTTTGGCAAAACATGAAAATGCAACGATTTAGTTCTTGAATTTTATTTACAATAATTCACCATGATCCGTTAGATAAAATACACACACTAACGTAACTATATAAGCATTTAAGCGTTGAGTTTCTTAATCAATGATATAAAGAATAATCAATCGAAATCGAGTACCAAACCAGTTTTTTAGTTTTGTCCTTGCAACGTAAAACACAAATAACGTGCGCGATTTAGCTGTGCAATTGAACAAAATTTGTCGAGTAAGACTTCTCCCTTCCTCTCTTTTGTGAAAAAAATCATAAAGAGATAAAAATCAAAAAAAATCTCAAAAAATATTTTTCATGTTCAAGTCACTAAACTTAACCGTTTGGCCGTGAATCGACTTCAAAGAATAACTTTTTTAGTAAAACCCCTAAAGAACTGGAGTCTCTAGAATACAACTACAAAACAATTTACAACATAAACCCATATGGGTCAGACTTTTGCGTGACATACCGCGAGGGTATGAAACATTGGAACATCTGCGTACAGTACTGGTTAGCGGTGAACGTGTACAAAAAATTTCCATTTAAAAAACTTCGCACCATTGCGACGTTGATGATTTCTGCCGTTTGGCATGGAGTCTGGACCGGGTATTACGTTTGTATTGGAACTGTACCTTTTGGACTCATGGTTGAAGATATTTGGGTGCAGTTGCTGCTAAAGGATCACCAAGGAACGGTAATAAGTTATTACTAATAACTGACATTTGATTTGCAACGTTGCCATGTTATGGGAAAATGCTGAAATAACCTAAATAAATTTGTTTTTAGGCCTTAAAACGCAACGAATGGTTTGTGTGGTTCTATAAAATGAAAGTGTTTTCCTACCAAGCCATTGCATTCCATTTATTGGAAATAAACAAAATAATAAAATATTTTAACTCGATTTATCATGTTGGTCTTATCATTCACTTGTTTTGGTATGTTGTGGGTCTACAACTTTTAAAAGCTAAAAAATCTAAAGAACAAAAAATTACGAAAGAACAAAAAGGTGAATAAGTTAATAAACGAACAAAATATTAATGTAAATAGTGATTATATAATTAAAAATATATTATTATGACTGAATTTTTGTGTTGTCCTTAAACCATCTTGAAATGTTCTTAAAAATAATAATGAATTTATCATTACCTTCAATACTATGCAATAGAAGTACAAAATAGTTTATTCTGCTTTTTCTACTTCTAAAAATTAAATGAAATTAAAAAGTGAGGTTGGATCATTTGACAGATGTCATATGCAACTACCCGATTGGTGCAAATTACAGTGAATAATGAAATCGGACAATCACTAATGGCCAACAACGGGAATAATGAGTTAATTTATTCCGTTGTCAGGCGAGGCGGTTCTAATGGTTATCATTTTATAGGAAAAACCCAAATAATGTCAATATTATACAATAGGAGTAGAAAAACGTCATTTAACACAACAATTTCGAATTTAAAGTCAATTTTATTTGATATTTTATCTGAAAACTGTCAAGCGGTTTTAACCTCACTTTTTCAATTAAATGCACTTGGTTACTTGATATGTAGTGTATTAAAATTTATACACCGTATTACTTAAATTCCTTTATTTTAACAAATACAAACATCTTATAACTATAGTTATATATCGAAAATATAACAAAATAAAACAAACGAAATGATTGTCTTGAAGTCTATAGCACAAAACAAACAAAATATCACAAAATTAAAGCTATAAAACCAACGGAAAAAATACAAAACTAAGCTGCTATAAAAAATAAGTCAAGTTGGTATATAAAACGATTTTTTTTGTATATATATATAAGTACTTTTAAGTTTGAACAATACTGCTTTGGGGTAAGTGTGCGCAATTTTCACAGTGGAGGTACAGCCATGGACAATAGTTTTGCTAGTGTTGCATTACTATTGTCCATGGGTGTATTACATGCGGCAGTATTGTTCTGTAATATGGCACATATACTAAATATACTTAATTTGGCTGTACATTTTTAATACTATCGAGAATATTGGTCTGTTTTTTTTAAGACGGAGTTTTAAAAATTTTAAGGAATGTAACGTTTTTCAAAAAACCAAAATCAGTCCTCTGTCTTTTTTTCTTATTAATATTAAAAGTCTTAGGGTGGATATAATACGAGTATATCTTACAAGCTAATATACACAAGAAACAAAAAATGGTCCTGTCATTATTTTTTTACTCTAAGTGAAGCTTTATATTTGTATTTATTATTCAAATATACCGCGAGTTAACAATAATAACTAACCTTTTTCGTTCGTTTAAAAAAAACACATAGCCTCAAATTTTATTTGAAGGGAACAAAAATGTGGAAGAAACACCATGGAATAGAATATCAACAACGGTTGATTATAAATAATCACCTAAAACACTCCTGTGACAATTTTTTTTCATTTTTTACGTCACAACAGCTTAATTTCAAATGTAGTTACGTTATACACCGCCAGGGTGCGGCACGTTGCGATTAGGTGACCGCTTTTTCGTAGGAAGGGGGCGGGGAATCCCGGATCACTTGCACCGTTGCCAGATCGAGGTTGTTCCGCGGCGAGAGCATCACGGCTATGTGGTAGGGAGGCGGCGGCAACTCAGCGTTCGACATCGTTGCCGCCGCGTGCGCTGTTTGCTGGACATCCTCGGATTGCGTCTGAAAAAGTTTCGCGGTTAATTTTTTGTCGTTTTCGCGTTTATTTGAGTATTTAAGCCTGATTTATAGATTGCCTTCCTTCCTCCCGTAAAAGATGAACAATACGAAAACCGTAGTGCTGTTTATAGATTACCGTACGGTATCATACGGTAATCTATAAACAGCACTACGGTTTTCGTATTGTTCATCTTTTACGGGAGGAAGGAAGGCAATCTATAAATCAGGCTTTACTTGTTCGACGGTTTCGTCGTTGCTCGGGTTGTCCACAGGCGGCGTTGCCGGTCCGCAGTTCGAAACTGCTTCGCATAGAGAGACAAAACCGCCGACTACTAAAACCAACACCAAAAACAGACAAAACACGATCGCCTCCACTCCGACATTGAACTAAAACGAAAAATTCTAACCTGAAATTGTTTTGTTATGTTTTTTACTCACGCCGTGTATGTAAGCCTTAACCCCTGCGAAAAAAAAGAAGAACATGGAAAAAAAGAACCACACTCCGCACTTGAAGCAGGTCGTTTGGGAACGCGACCGGTGCGGCGTTGTCAAGTTTCTCTGCGGCAACGGCGCCCCCGCGCCGTTGCCAGTCGTCGATATGTGCTCCATGGATCTGGCAACGTTGGGCGACCTGCTGTTTTGATGGGGGTAACTGGAAAAAAAAACGATCGCAAACGTCACTTTGACAGTTGCGCAAAAATTGACGTTTAAACTGTCAATTTCATAGATATCTTGATAAAAGACTAACTTGTATGTTTGTACAGGGTGGTAGGATAACCTGGGCGAATAAGGTTGACGAGATGATCGCAGGCCATTGTTGGCCACACTTTCAATGGACTGAAATCTGTGTACGGGGGTTACCATGGGATCAGGGTAGAATCCACCACCGCTGCACAGAATCCGTCTGTTGTGTCCGTACCCTACAAAACCTAACAAAAAGTTGCCAATATGTGTCAAATTTAACTCTTTCCTACCTTGACTGCTCTTGTTAATCCAAAAATGCATCAGTGTTGCCTTTATTGCATTTATTTTGACGTTTTTTCATCAACTAAAATCAATACTTATAAGCGTTGATTTAAAAGAAAAACCGGAAATAAAACGTTAAAATACCACCCAAACACTCACCTAATAACTGCTTGGTGGATAAATTTAGTTTTTCAGGGCTTTAATCATGTTAATTCAGCAAAAATCGCGCACAAAAACATAAAGAAGATTTTGTAAACATCTTTAACCCAGCGGTACGAAAATTGCGAACCAAATCGAAGTAACCGATTTGGGACTGCTGCAACGTTGCCGTACTCAAATAAACAAACATTTGTACTGGGTGTCCATAAATGATTTTGCGTCCTAAATTTTTCTCTCGAGAAGAAAACAGAATTTAAAAAGTTGTTTTTTAATTCCTTAATTTGATACAACAACAAACTTTTAAAAAATCAGTGGTTTACGTTTACGTTTACGCAACGCCACTGGGATTATTATTACAGAAAAGAACCCCTTATTACTGCTAACAAACGGCCAGTTTTATAATTTCATTAATTGTATTTCAAACATTAAACATATTAGAACACACTGTATGTATGTGCATTTTTTTGACAGTTGTAGACTTGTCAACGCAGCATTTCTTTCAGTCATTGACACAGAACAAACCATTGAAGCAAAATGAAACAGATCGTAGATTTAGCACGAGAAAAGTGATAAATAGGTGTGAAAAGTGCGAAAACGCGAAAATCGAAAATGTATTTTCGGTCTTGCGAACGCCAGCGCGCCAACGTGAAAAATAAAGCCGAATTGTTAGCTAACAGATATTGTTCTTCTGAAGTGTGTTTTTCCGAAATCAAAGACGGAATTCTTCAGTGCAAATGCGGTGAAAACGATGCGATGAGCAACAAGTTCGAATGGAAATTCGTCAAGGAAGAAAACACCTCCGACATAGTTTTTTCGAATGAAAACAAAGACATTCTTTTCCACCCCACCTACAGCCACGGCACTGCCGTGCTGAGGGGCGAAAAACCCTTCGCCAAAAACCGGCATCACTACTGGGAAGTGAAAATGATTTCATCCCTCTACGGGACAGATGTGGTACGTTTTAGTCGCTTTATTAACCTTTGATCTTTAGTGTTGTGTATATTTTGCAACAATATCGCACGATAGCTCGCATAAATAAACATTTCGAGGAAATATTGCACAAAAATTATCACAAACGTCATTCCTTGTTTGAGGTTATGTGTGCTTGTCAAAAGTGGCAGTAGTTCAAATGACTCGCCACAAGCGATTTTTCTAGTCTGCCAATTTGACAGGGTCAAGCAGTTTTAAAATTGTCCTGGAACTGTTTAAAAATGTATTAAAATCGTTTTAAACAGTTTTATTAATAATAAGAGGCCTATTCCAGTATACTGTACTGTATACAGTATACTTATATATTGGTACCATAGAAAAAGGATATAGGTACTGTACCAAACATATATCATTATCAGGCATAGTGATCATAAATAAATTACTTTTTCATAATTAATACCTAATTAATTATATCTATAAATGAATAATAGTTATTATACAGGGAGTCATGTAATTAATGTAATAGGTATTTTAAATACTGAATACCTTTTGACATATATTTTCCCAAAAATAAAGAAAAAATATGCATTAGAATTTTTGTATATTTTTTGTGATACGCCACTGGTTGTTACTAAAAATTTTGTTTGCAAAAAATAAATTAAAGCTCAATAAATACAAATGTTTTATGCCCTTAAAGCTTAAATACCCTTCCGTATTTATTTACTCATCCAGCTATTAGCTTAAGCAATGATTAAAAAATTTAGTACCTATTTTTAAAACTCCATCACAAAATTAATTTTTCATCGGTTTTTTTCTTTCTGTTTACTCATGATGCAAATGAAATTAGAACAAGTTCACAGATTAAACATTCAATTTGTGTAAATAAATCCAAAAGCACTTCCCTTAGTTAAGATATTTACAATTTGAGCACATAACCTAAAATTTGAAAGAAATACACTAAAGTCTGTCATAAAAGATTTCAGATTTTGTTTGAATTTACCTTCATTACAAAAATGACATAATTACGAAGGCGTAGAAGGGACAATTAATTAATAGGGAATTAATTGCATTTAATTCTGTGTTAGCTAACGCAGAATTAAATATGTCGGATTTAATTCTGTGTTAGCTAACGCAGAATTAAATATGGCGGATTTAATTCTGTGTTAGTTAACGCAGAATTAAATATGGCGGATTTAATTCTGTGTTAGCTAAGGCAGAATTAAATATGGCGGATTTAATTCTGTGTTAGCTAACGCAGAATTAAATAATAAAAATAATTTAGTGTAATTGTCCCTTCTACGCCTTCGTACATAATCAACAATTAACAAAAACGCCAAATTAACAATTTGCATTGTAGATTTTGTAATTTTTGTGATTAAGCTGAATTTAAACAAAATTTGGCAACTTTTTTAACAGAACGCTGCTTGTTACCAACCATAACATAATAAATTAAAAGTTCCTAGCCGATCAGTGGCGTACTTTTTGGTAGGAGAAATTATTATTATTTTTAGTCTTTATAATTTAGAAAAAAAAAGTTTCAGGTGCTTCTTTAAGGACCCTAAAAATACGACAAATATAAAATGTCAAAATACTTTTATCATTTTTGTTTAATTTTATAATCTCTTAGGTTTTATCAATATCTTTTAAAATATTAAATTAAAACCTCTACAACAAAGAACACTAAACACCTTTGCTACAAATCAGACTTTCCCACGTATTTTTTAGAATTTGTGAATTTTCTGAATTAGTTAGGTTATAAAAGTAAGATACTCTCTGTCCTAGAAACATTTTATAAACAGCAAGAAAGGGAATAGGCCTCTAAACAGCTTTATTAATAGTAATACTCAAAGTATATTGCAAAAAAACTTAAAACGTCATTTGTAATTTAGGGTTCTGCGCGTTTGTCATCAAAAGTGACAGTAGTTCAATTGACTCGCCATAGGCGTACGCTTTTTAATCGGATTAGGGGGTTTAAAATTTGTTGTTGCAGATGGTGGGCGTGGGTAGTGCCAACATAAGACTGGCAGACTGGAAGTACCAGTTTTGCAGCCTGCTGGGCCTCGACGGGCAATCGTGGGGTTACTCGTACAAAGGCAACATCCAGCACGACCAGCTGGGGCGAAAGTACGGGGTCAAGTACGGCATGGGGTCCCTCGTGGGGGTCCACTTGGACATGTGGCGCGGCACGCTCGAATACTACGTGAACCGCCGGCCCATGGGCACGGCCTTTCGAAACTTGAAGCGGCACGAGGTTTATCCGATGCTGAGCAGCACCGCTGCCAAAAGTGCGGTTAGGATCACGTGCGCCGTGTCGACGGAGCCCACTCTGCAGATGTACTGCCTGAAGGTGGTCGTGAAGAAGCCCGCCCTCTACCGGGAGTTCAAGCAGGAGATGCCGCAGATCGCCAGGATATACGAGAAGAAGTACTTCTGGATTAGACCCACAATAGGTCAGTTTTTATCGTTTTATGCCTGGTTTATGCAGACTTAAAACTTAAGACTTAACATTTAACAATTAAGAAGTTAAAAGTTAGGTTATTTCATTGATTTCCTTTAAGGTCGTTTATGCACCATTTAAGACTTAAGACTTAACATTTAAGAACTAAGAAAAATGACCTTGAAAGATAATAAACTTTTATCTTTCTTAAGTCTTAAGTTTTAATTCTTACATGAAATCGCATTTGCGCAAGCGTTAACTAGGGAATTTTAAATTAAACTATTTGTTTTTCTATGGTTGTTGTAACTGAAAATTTAAAAATTCGTGTTTCATGTTTTTCTTGAAATTACTGTGCTAAAATGATAGATAGTTTGGATCCATTTTAGATTAAACTAGTAAACACAGATTATAAAAAACGTTAATAAACAAAAATATACGCATTCGCAAAACACAACGGTAAAATTTCAATGTTAATTGTCATTTTAATGTTGGTAGTACCAACTTCATACCACGTGATATTTTTATCGATTTTGATTGGTTACTCCTTAAGTTTTAGGTCTTAAGATAAATGCTGCATGAACGCCACAAAATTTTCGCTTAATTTTTAATTCTTAAGTCTTAAATGTTAAGTTTTAAGTCTGCATAAACCCACCTTTAAAATGTCAATTTTAACTAAATTACCATTTCAGATATTCAAACGAGGGCGCTGGCTGTCCCGAAGCGACAAAATAAGCGCGAAAGATCGGACGGACTGAATTTTTTGACCTGCGAGGAAAACCTAACCTCCGATTCAGAGACTGAAGACGTTTACGGCGGTTTGGAAGCAACCAACAGGAAAAAAAGTGATAAAAATAAGAGAATAAGAAGTCTAGGATTAGAGGATGACTGTGTATTTGCGATTGTTTAATAATTATATTATTAATAAGGAATATTTAAGTTTTTACTATTAATTATGATGTATGAGCGAAATAAAATAAAAAGCATTTTATAAGTCTTAAATACATTTATTAACAAAAAAAAACGGCTTTTATACTAGACAGAAATATACATTATATTTAATTAAAGAAAATTTCTTAAAACTTTAATCGTATATGTCTTCTTTATCGGCAACATACCTAACAATATCAGCAGGTCTCAGTAATTTTTCGGCGTCTTGATCAGGAATTTCAAAACCAAACTCATCCTCAATGGCCATTATAACCTCAACATGGTCCAAACTGTCCAAACCCAAGTCATTAATGAAATGGGACTCAAGTTTTAGCTAAAAAGTAAAATAAAATAGCAAAAAAATAAAATGGAGACTTGTATCACAAAATACATTCATACAACTATTATACATGGTGATTTATAGGTTATAAATCCAGAAGTTATTTGTAATTATACTTAAAAAGACATTGTGTAAAAATGCATTTATCTCTTAAACCAAGCCAAAAAACAAAAAATGTTGGGGAGTAAAATTTGTTTAAAACTTAATAATGCAAAATAATATTTCATAAAAAAGTATAAAAAACAATTGAATACACATATTTTTTCAAAAATTACCTTTAAGAAACTTTTTGTCAATAATAACTGTTTTTAAGTATTTTCAACAACAGACTAAGCAAAAATAGTTATATGAATGCATCCTAACACAAGCAAAAGTTACCGTACCTTCTCAGGGGCTATTTTATCATACAAATTTAAAACCAAAATGACTCGGTCCGCAATGAGTTTTAAGGTTAACGGAGGCTTGGAACTGTAACTCTGCTCGTGCGGCGATACAATTGTCTGAAAGCAGAAAAAGACCACAGTTCAAATTACCTTGTCGGCAGTGACTTTGTCGTAGGACGAGCAAACTTTCAACACCCTGTCTTTAATTTCCTGCTCGGTGGGTTTGGATTTCGTCACTTCCGGCGAATAGAACCTGCTTTGCATTGGCTTGAACAACAAAATACTCCTTTATACACCAAATGTTTGGCAGGCACAAAAAGTTGGGTTAGAAGTTATGTAATGCAATTAAATCGATTTTTTCGCGAAATAACGAAGCAAAATGATAACACAATGGTGTATTCACGTAAATTGATTGTAAACCATGTAAATAAACCCTCTGAAAGCATAAATAAGTCATAATTACCTGTGTAGACGTCAAAAATAAGGTGCTTTTAACTAAGCTCTGTTGGGGCCGGTTGATTTTGTTGTTTACACCCACAGCGAGAGATCTTGTGGCAAAAGACCTCAAATAGTTGGTCTGTTTGCTTAAAGCGCGGATATTCTTCACGATTCCTGCCATTTTTACCGAAAAAATCTCGTCTTTAGGCTGTCAAACGTCAAACGAAATTGCGACCTCTGACTGGCAAAAATCGAACTACGCGAGTTTGAAATTTCGCGCCAAAAAGCACGTCAAACGTGAAAATTAAAAAAAAATTAAGTCAAAAGTCGAGTTAAAATGTGCACAATGTAATCGGTTTTAAGTTTTCTTCGTGCGTTTTAAAGTTATGCATGTTAATTTGCTGTTTAACGTTCGTCTAATCAAAGGAGACACGGTATTTGTTTTTAATAAACAAATTTCGTTTATTTTGCATTATGGAGAGTTCGTCGGAAAGCTGAGTCTTCAAGTAAAAGAAAACGTAAGTCTGAACCCATTTTTAACACGTGAAAGTCTAATTATTCAAGATTTGTTGCTATAATCATCATTTTAATGTAGAAAAATGCTGTATATAAAATTTCCCCGTTTAAACGTAAATATTTTATTTATGGCAACGTTGCTGTAAATCTGACAGTACTTGTCAAAAATTTACATTTTCAAACTTAATTTTCTCAAACGCTACTGAATTTTCCGCCACTTTTATCACGTAAATTCGCCCTTATTAAAATCGTTTAAACGAAAATTGTAAATTCATTTGAATTTGATGTAAATTGGCGGTAAACACACTGTTCACTTCAGTGACAGAACAGTGTGGCCACCTGTCGAAATCGAAAAGTTCCTGTGGCTAAGTTGATCCAAGAGTAAATTTAAGTTCTCGCGATTTTCTTTGGTTTTTGTTGAGTTTTTAAAGATGTCCGAGGAAGGCAGCCCTTCTCTTTTAAACCTGCCGGATTTCCGTAAACAAAAAAATACCACTTTGTCGCCCAATTCCCAGGCAAACGGTTGTAAGTTCAATTACTGGAAAAACGTTAATTGCAGGGTTAGGTGCATTGGTTATAATTTTCATTGTTTTTTAGCTCCTGAAGCTGAAGGGGGCGAAAGAAAAGTGATTATAAGACGTAGAATTATCAATCCTTTTAGCGATTCTGATTCCGAATGCGAATCAATACTGAAAAAGGTGGATTTTGTACAAAGTAATAAAAAAAACATGAAAAATCCATCGATACTAGAGAAGGAGAAGCAAATGAAATTTCTGCTGGAGATTTTTCCCAACTTGGAAGCAATGGTGAGCTATTAACTTTATGTAGACATTGCATTAACATTTCGTGTACAACTGGGCACTATTTTAGGTCATACATGACGTTCTCTCAAAACACAGCTTCAACACTGACTCTGCAGCTGCTGAGCTGTCCAAAGAGCACGGCCAAAGCCAGGTGCCTCAAAGGGTGTACTCGGAGTGGAAGCAAAACTACGAAGAAAGGCAAAACAAAAGTGAAATAGACAATGTTCTTAAATACCAACAGCAGCAGATGCAGCAAAGTGTCAGCTACCAGAACTACCAGCTGCCAAAAAGCAGGGGCTATGAGAACAGGCAAAACGGGACGAGTAGCAGTTTCAAGAGGAAAAATATTGATGTGGATATGATGCCCAGAAAAAAAAAGGCCAGAAGAAGAAGAAGCTCAGAAGATAGTGATGACAGTCTGGGGAGCCTTAGAGATTTTAAAGATAACAGAGTATTTGACAGGTTAGTAACATATTTTTTTTTGCATTTTTACCACATATTTAGAGAAAAAGTAAGCCTAAGCATTTGACAGATGTCAGATTGTAAAAAAGTGAGGTTAAACTTTTCTGACAGGTGTCAGATTGACAAAGTGAGGTTAAAACCGCTTGACAGTTGTCAAATGTCAAATAAAATTGACTAAATTTTGGAAAATGATTACTTTGCGTTCTTATTAATTTTTTTAAATTAATGATTTTTATTTTGAAATTCTTAAGTTTGCTTTTAACTTTATATTGAAAATTCCTAAAAACCAAATTTAACATACTAGTGTTTTTGACATTTTTGAATGTGTTTGATGTTCTTAAAAAGTATTTTGACATTCTTAAATATGATTTTGACAAGTTTAAATACGTTTTGTATTTTAGTAGGTGTTTGACATTCTTAATTTGCTTTTTACTTTCTGTAGGATATATTGGCAATTTTTTAAATTGTAAAAAACCATGTTTGATAATCTTAAATGTGCATTTGACATTTTTAAATGCCTTTGATGTTCTTAAAAACTATTTTTACATTCTTAAATATGATTTTGACAATTTTTAATACGTTTTGCATTTCAGTAGGTGTTTGACATTCTTAATTATTATTTTGACATTTTAAGTTTGATTTTGACTTTCCATAGGATATAGGTATTTGCAATTTTTTAAGTGTTTGACACCCCTAAAAATCATGTTTGACATTTTTAAATGCCTTTGATGTCCTTAAAAATTATTTTGACATTCTTGAATATGCTTTTGACAAGTTTAAATACGTTTTGTATTTTAGTAGGTGTTTAACATTCTTAATTAATATTTTGACATTCTTAAGTTTGCTTTTGACTTACTATAGGATATATTGGCAATTTTTTAAGTGTTTGACACCTATAAAAACCATGTTTAATATTCTAAAATGTGTTTTTGACATTTTTAAATTTGTTTGATGTTCTTAAAAAGTATTTTGACATTCTTGAATATGATTTTGACAAGTTTAAATACCTTTTGCATTTTAGTAGGTGTTTGACATTCTTACTTATTATTTTGACATTCTTAAGTTTGATTTTGACTTTCTGTAGGATATATTCGTAATTTTTTAATTGTTTTACACTTCTAAAAACCATATTTGATATTCTTAAATGTGTTTTTGACATTTTAAATGTGTTTGATGTTTTTTAAAAGTATGTTGACATTCTTTAATATGATTTTGACAATTTTAAATACGTTTTGCATTTTAGTAGATGTTTGGAATTCTTTAATTTGCTTTTGACTTTCTATAGGATATATTGTCAATTTTTCAAGTGTTTGACACTTTTAAAAACCATGTTTGAAATTCTAAAATATGCTTTTGACAATTTTTAAATTCCTTTGATGTTTTTAAAGAGTATTATGACATTCTTGCATATGATTTTGACAATTTTAAGTAGGTGTTTGGCATTCTTAATTATTATTTTGACATTTTTAAGTTTGATTTTGACTTTCTATATGATATATTGGCAATTTTTCAAGTGTTTGACACTTTCAAAACCATGTTTGATATTCTAAAATGTGCATTTGACATTTTTAAATGTGTTTGATGTTCTTAAAAAGTATTTTGACATTCTTGAATATGATTTTGACAATTTTAAATACGTTTTGTATTTTAGCAGGTGTTTGACATTCTTAATTATTGTTTTGACATTTTAAGTTTGCTTTTAACTTTTTATAAGATACCTATATTGACAATTCCTAAAAACAAAATTGCACATTCTGCAAGTATTTTTATCGTTTTTTTGTGATTTACACATCATTTAATAGGTAAAAAAAATATTTTTTTGCAGCGACGAAGACTCTGACGTAGAAATAAGTAACGAACTCACGGGTGATAAGAAAAAAGTATTAGAATTTTTCGAAACTGCCACTATAAACGAACTGCAATTAATGCAGAGTTGTAGCAAGAAAAAAGCCGAATATATCTGTGATGCGCGACCTTTCAACGGCTGGATCGATTTGGTAAGTGCCACCGACGAATGACAGCCGTCAAATTGACGTCTCAAACTTTTCCTTTAAGGTGGAAAAACTGCAGTCGAACAAAATCGTGAGCACGGACCTCCTGAACAGCGCGCAGCGCGTTCTGGCCACCAGAAACAACATACGAGCGCTGATGCGCAAGTGTTCCAACATCGCGCAGGCGCTGGAGCGCGCCGTTGCCGCCGGCGCTGGCGTCAAAATGCAACCGCGCAATCTCTCTTCCGCGTGAGTGATCTAATCGATTTTTAACGACCACATATTTTGACGTTTTGGGCGTTTTTAGGTTAAAACTGACGGGTTACCAGATGGTGGGTTTAAATTGGCTGGTGGTGATGTTCAATCAGGGTGTGAACGGGATTTTGGCGGACGAAATGGGCCTCGGAAAAACGGTGCAAGTGATTTCGTTTTTGGCGCACCTAAAGGAGATTGGTGCGGCCAAAAATACGCATTTGGTCATCGTGCCCTCGTCCACCTTAGGTAAATATAAAAACATACATATTTTGTTTTTTAAATTTTGACATTCTTAATTATTATTTTAACATTTGAAGCTTTATTGACATTTCTAAAAACAATGTTTAATATTCTAAAATGTGTTTTTGACATTTTTAAATGCATTTTAGTAGGTATTTGACATTCTTAATTATGGTTTTGACCAGGGGCGTAGCTACCGCGGTATCAGCCGTATCAATGATACGGGGCCCCGGGCTAGGGGGGCCCCGATTGGCTTCGACATTCGTAAGCAAAAAACATATTACCCACATGTTAAAAAAAATTGAGGCATGAAATTAAATAAATAAATAAATAAATAAATAATAATATTATTTAATTGTTTATACTTCGATTTATTAAATTAAAATGTTCCTGAATATCCTGTTCCAACGAGGCCATGAACTCATACGAATTGTTTCTGCGGCGCAGTCTGCGCATATTGTTCTGTGCTCTACTGAGTCTGCTTTGCGTGTTATTATCATAGGTTATATTAATAGCAAATTAGAAATAATTATTAGCGTTACAATTATTTCAAATGACTTGCCTTTATATTAAAATAGAAACGTTTTAAAAGATGTTGAAGAACGGTAAATGTCTAAAACCTGACCAAATTTTAAAATTTGCTTGTACATAAAAAGCTATGTATACCTACATATATTATTTATTAAATTATAAAAAATTGGTAAATGCAAAAAATGATACCCTAAAAAATTTTTTTGTTTCCCCAAAATAGACTTTGGGCGTGATACCCACAATTTTTTTTACCTGCAGCTTTTTTCGTATAAGGGCCCCTACCAGATTTTTGATACGGGGCCCCCTCGAGGCTAGCTACGCCACTGGTTTTGACAGTCTTAGGTTTGCTTTTGATTTTCTGTAGGATATATTGGTAATGTTTTAAGTGTTTGACACATCTAAAAACCATTTTTGATATTCTAAATTTTGACATAATGTTAAAGTATTTTGACTTTCTTGAATATGGTTTTGACAATTTTAAATTCGTTTTGCATTTTAGTAGGTGTTTGACATTCTTAATTATTATTTTGACATTTTTAGTTTGATTTTGACTTTCTATAGGATATATTGGCAATTTTTTAAGTGTTTGACAATTCTAAATACCATGTTTGATATTCTAAAATGTGTTTTTGACATTTTTAAAATGCCTTTTATGCTCTTAAAAAGTATTTTGACAATTTTAAATACGTTTTGCATTTTAGTAGGTGTTTGACATTCTTACTTATTATTTTGACATTCTTAAGTTTGCTTTTGAATTTCTATTGGATATATTGACAATTTTTCAAGTGTTTGACACTTCTAAAAACCACGTTTGATATTCTAAAATGACATTTTTAAATGCCTTTGATGTTCTTAAAAAGTATTTTGATATTCTTGAATATGATTTTGACCATTTTAAATACTTTTTGCATTTAAGTAGGTGTTTGACATTCTTAAGTTTGCTTTTGACTTTCTATAGGATATATTCGTAATTTTCACACTTCTAAAAACCATGTTTGACATTTTAAATGTGTTTGATGTTTTTTAAAAGTATTTTTTCATTCTTTAATATGATTTTGACAATTATAAATACGTTTTGTATTTTAGTAGATGTTTGAAATTCTTTTATTTGCTTTTGACTTTCTATAAGATATATTGTCAATTTTTCAAGTGTTTGACACTTTTAAAAACCATGTTTGAAATTCTAAAATATGATTTTGACAATTTTTAAATGCCATTGATGTTTTTAAAGAGTATTATGACATTCTTGCATATGATTTTGACAATTTTAAATAGGTGTTTGGCATTCTTAATTATTATTTTGACATTCTTAAGTTTGCTTTTGACTTTCTATAGGATATATTGGCAATTTTCAAGTGTTTGACACTTTCAAAACCATGTTTGATATTCTAAAATGTGCATTTGACATTTTTAAATTCCTTTGATGTTCTTAAAACGTATTTTGACATTCTTGAGTATGATTTTGACAATTTTAAATACTTTTTGCATTTTAGTAGGTGTTTGACATTCTTAAGTTTGCTTTTGACTTTCTATAGGATATATTCGTAATTTTTTAAGTGTTTGACACTTCTATAAACCATGTTTGGTATTCTTAAATGTGTTTTTGACATTTTAAATGTGTTTGATGTTTTTTAAAAGTATTTTGACATTCTTAAATATGATTTTGACAATTTTAAATACATTTTGCATTTGAGTAGATGTTTGAAATTCTTTTATTTGCTTTTGACTTTCTATAAGATATATTGTCAATTTTTCAAGTGTTTGACACTTTTAAAAACCATGTTTGAAATTCTAAAATATGATTTTGACAATTTTTAAATGCCATTGATGTTTTTAAAGAGTATTATGACATTCTTGCATATGATTTTGACAATTTTAAATAGGTGTTTGGCATTCTTTATTATTATTTTGACATTCATAAGTTTGCTTTTGACTTTCTATAGGATATATTGGCAATTTTCAAGTGTTTGACACTTTCAAAACCATGTTTGATATTCTAAAATGTGCATTTGACATTTTTAAATTCCTTTGATGTTTTTAAAAAGTATTTTGACATTCTTGAGTATGATTTTGACAATTTTAAATACTTTTTGCATTTTAGTAGGTGTTTGACATTCTTAAGTTTGCTTTTGACTTTCTATAGGATATATTCGTAATTTTTTAAGTGTTCGACACTTCTATAAACCATGTTTGGTATTCTTAAATGTGTTTTTGACATTTTAAATGTGTTTGATGTTTTTTAAAAGTATTTTGACATTCTTAAATATGATTTTGACAATTTTAAATACATTTTGCATTTGAGTAGATGTTTGAAATTCTTTTATTTGCTTTTGACGTTCTATAAGATATATTGTCAATTTTTCAAGTGTTTGACACTTTTAAAAACCATGTTTGAAATTCTAAAATATGATTTTGACAATTTTTAAATGCCTTTGATGTTTTTAAAGAGTATTATGACATTCTTGCATATGATTTTGACAATTTTAAATAGGTGTTTGGCATTCTTAATTATTATTTTGACATTCTTAAGTTTGCTTTTGACTTTCTATAGGATATATTGGCAATTTTTCAAGTGTTTGACACTTTCAAAACCATGTTTGATATTCTAAAATGTGCATTTGACATTTTTAAATGTGTTTGATGTTCTTAAAAAGTATTTTGACATTCTTGAGTATGATTTTGACAATTTTAAATGCATTTTGCATTTTAGTAGGTGTTTGACATTCTTAAAATTGCTTTTGACTTTCTATAGGATATATTCGTAATTTTTTAAGTGTTTGACACTTCTAAAAACCATGTTTGGTATTCTTAAATGTGTTTTTGACATTTTAAATGTGTTTGATGTTTTTTAAAAGTATTTTGACATTCTTAAATATGATTTTGACAATTTTAAATACATTTTGCATTTGAGTAGATGTTTGAAATTCTTTTATTTGCTTTTGACTTTCTATAAGATATATTGTCAATTTTTCAAGTGTTTGACACTTTTAAAAACCATGTTTGAAGTTCTAAAATATGATTTTGACAATTTTTAAATGCCATTGATGTTTTTAAAGAGTATTATGACATTCTTGCATATGATTTTGACAATTTTAAATAGGTGTTTGGCATTCTTAATTATTATTTTGACATTCTTAAGTTTGCTTTTGACTTTCTATAGGATATATTGGCAATTTTTCAAGTGTTTGACACTTTCAAAACCATGTTTGATATTCTAAAATGTGCATTTGACATTTTTAAATGTGTTTGATGTTCTTAAAAAGTATTTTGACATTCTTGAGTATGATTTTGACAATTTTAAATGCATTTTGCATTTTAGTAGGTGTTTGACATTCTTAAAATTGCTTTTGACTTTCTATAGGATATATTCGTAATTTTTTAAGTGTTTGACACTTCTAAAAACCATGTTTGATTTTCTTAAATGTGTTTTTGACATTTTAAATGTGTTTGATGTTTTTTAAAAGTATTTTGAAATTCTTTAATATGATTTTGACAATTTTAAATACGTTTTGCGTTTTAGTAGATGTTTGGAATTCTTTAATTTGCTTTTGACTTTCTATAGGATATATTGTCAATTTTTCAAGTGTTTGACACTTTTAAAAACCATGTTTGAAATTCTAAAATATGATTTTGACAATTTTTAAATGCCATTGATGTTTTTAAAGAGTATTATGACATTCTTGCATATGCTTTTGACAATTTTAAATAGGTGTTTGGCATTCTTAATTATTATTTTGACATTTTTAAGTTTGCTTTTGACTTTCTATAGGATATATTGGCAATTTTCAAGTGTTTGACACTTTCAAAACCATGTTTGATATTCTAAAATGTGCATTTGACATTTTTAAATTCCTTTGATGTTCTTAAAAAGTATTTTGACATTCTTGAGTATGATTTTGACAATTTTAAATACTTTTTGCATTTTAGTAGATATTTGGAATTCTTTAATTTGCTTTTGACTTTCTATAGGATATATTGTCAATTTTTCAAGTGTTTGACACTTTCAAAAACCATGTTGATATTCTAAAATGTGCATTTGACATTTTTAAATGCGTTTGATGTTCTTAAAAAGTATTTTGACATTCTTGAATATGATTTTGACAATTTTTAATACGTTTTGCATTTTAGTAGGTGTTTGAGATTCTTAAATTTGCTTGAAGATATATTGGCAGTTTTTTAAGCGTTTGACGTTCTTAAAAAACATGTTGGACATTCTTAAGTATTCTTGTTTTCTTCAAGACAATTGGCGTTCGGAGTTTGCGCGCTGGTGCCCCGAGTTGCGAGTCTTCATGTACTACGGCAGCACCGAAGAGCGCCGCGGTTTCCGCTTCGACCTGGCCAAAGGGATGCTGGCCGATTTCGACGTCATTTTGACGACGTACACCATCGTCGCCAACACGCCCGAAGAGCGGAAAATGTTCCGCGTCACGCCGATGCACTACGTCGTCTTCGACGAGGCTCACATGCTGAAAAACATGAACACGCAGCGCTACGAGAACCTGATCAGGATAAATGCAAGTGCCGAATTGCGGTTTTCCTTGCGTTTCTGATTTATTTATTTTTTTCAGGCCAAACACAGGATTTTGCTGACCGGCACCCCGTTGCAAAACAACCTGTTGGAACTGATGTCCCTCCTCAACTTCGTGATGCCCAAAATATTTTCCGAGAAGGTGGACGATTTGAAGAGCCTGTTCCAAAAAAATTCCGTAAGTTTTGTTGTTTAAAATAACCTAAAAACGTGTTTGACAGCTTTTTAAATTACTTTTGTCTTAATCTTTTAATTTTTATGTTACTATAAGTTACTTAAAATCAATAAATTTGCCTTCTCCATTTAAATAAAGGCACTAAAACTTAGAATTTATTATTCACAATTAACTGTTATATTTATGTTAAATATTAACTTTTCCAATTACAAATAGTCTTGAAATATTATTGGACATTTTTAAAAATTTTGAATTTTGAAAACTAAAATTTTCAAATTATTGAAATTTTTAAAATGCTTGGAATTTTGATAATTCTTTAAATTTGAAAAATCTTCATTTCAAATTTCAAACATTTTTGAAATTTAAGCATTTTTGAATTTTGAAAACTAAAATTTTCCAAATTATTGTAATTATTGCAATTTTGATACTATACATTTAAAAAAAAATCGAAATTTCCTAATTATTGAAATTTCTAAAATGCTTACAATTTTGGACATTTTTAAAAATGTCAGTGTAAACATTTTAAATTTTTTTGAAATTTTCAAATATTGAAATTTTTAAAATGCCTGTAATTTTGATAATTCTCTTTAAATTTGAAAAATCTTCATTTCAAATTTCAAACATTTTTTAAATTTAAGGATTTTTAAATTTTGAAAACTAAATTTTTCCAAATTATTGTAATTATTGAAATTATTGCAATTTTGATACTACACATTTTAAAAAAATTCGAAATTTCCTAATTATTGAAATCTTTAAAATGCTTACAATTTTGGACATTTTTAAAAAAATTTGAAATTTGAAATTTAAGTAATTTAAGTAATTTTGAAACCTAAAATTTTCCAAATTATTTTAATTATTGTAATTTTTGATACTATACGTTATAAATTTTTTTTTGAAATTTTTAAATTGCTTACAATTTTTGACATTTTTAAAAATTTCAAATTGTATACATTTTAAATTTTGAATTTTGATAATTCTTTAAATTTGAAAAATCTTTATTCAATTTTGATAATACTTTAAATTTGAAAAATCTTCATTTTAAATTTCAAACATTTTTGAAATTTAAGGATTTTTGAAAACTAAAATTTTCAAGATTTTTGTAATTATTGCAATTTTGATTCTATACATTTTAAAAAATTTCGAAATTTCCTAATTTAAAAATTTAAGGATTTTTGAATTTTGAAAACTAAAATTTTGTAACCAATTATTGTAATTATTGAAATTTTTGCAATTTATGATACTATGTATACATTTTAAAACTTTTCGAAATTTCCAAATTATTGATATTTGTTGCAATTTTGGACATTTTAAAAAATTTGAAATTTGAAATTTTAAATATGCTTGGAATTTTAAACATTTTTGAAATTTAAGGATTTTTGAATTTTGAATACTAAAATTTTTCAAATTATTGTAATTATTTAAATTATTGTAATTTTTGATACTATACATTTTAAAATTTTATGAAATTTCCAAATTATTGAAATTTTTAAAATGCTTGGAATTTTGATAATTCTTTAAATTTGAAAAATCTTCATTTCAAATTTCAAACTTTTTTGAAATTTAAGGATTTTTGAATTTTTAAAACTAAAATTTTCCAAATTATTGTAATTGTAATTTTGATAATTCTTTAAATTTGAAAAATCTTCATTTCAAATTTCAAACATTTTTGAAATTTAAGGATTTTTGAATTTTTAAAACTAAAATTTTCCAAATTATTGTAATTATTGCAATTTTGATAATTTAAAAAAAATTCGAAATTTCCTAATTATTGAAATTTTTAAAATGCTTACATTTTTGGATATTTTTAAAAATTTGAAAGTATACATTTTAAATGTTTTTGAAATTTCCAAATTATTGAAATTTTTAAAATGCTTGGAATTTTGATAATTCTTTAAATTTGAAAAATCTTCATTTCAAATTTCAAACATTTTTAAAATTTAAGGATTTTTGAATTTTGAAAACTAAAATTTTCCAAATTATTGTAATTATTGAAATTATTGCAATTTTGATAATTTTAAAAAAATTCGAAATTTCCTAATTATTGAAATTTTTAAAATGCTTGCAATTTTGGACATTTTTAAAAATTTCAAATTTCAAACATTTTAATAATTTAAGGATTTTTGAATTTTGAAAACTATAATTTTCCAAATTATTGTAATTATTGCAATTTTGATACTATACATTTTAAAAAAATTCGAAATTTCCTAATTATTAAAATTTTTAAAATGATTACAATTTTGAACATTTTTAAAAACTTGAAAGTGTATACTTTAAAAAATTTTGAAATTTCCAGATTATTGAAATTTTTAATATGCTTGGAGTTTTGATAATTATCAAGAATTATAATTCTTTAAATTTGAAAAATCTTCATTTTAAATATCAAACATTTTTGAAATTTAAGGATTTTTGAAAACTAAAATTTTCAAGATTTTTGTAATTATTGCAATTTTGATTCTATACATTTTAAAAAATTTCGAAATTTCCTAATTTAAAAATTTAAGGATTTTTGAATTTTGAAAACTAAAATTTTGTAACCAATTATTGTAATTATTGAAATTTTTGCAATTTATGATACTATGTATACATTTTAAAACTTTTCGAAATTTCCGAATTATTGAAATTTTTAAAATTCTTGAAGTTTTGGACATTTTTAAAAATTTGAAAGTGTTTGAAATTTAAGGATTTTTGAATCTTGAAAACAAAAATTTTCCAAAGAAAAGATTAATTTTCTAAGCAACGATTAGTGGTCGTAGAAAAAAATGTTTACCCGGTTCTTCGGACGTTTTTCAGAAAGGCAAGCAGGAGGACGACACGCTGCCGGCCTTCGAGCGCGAGCAGATCGAGCAGGCCAAGCGCATAATGAAGCCGTTCGTGCTGCGCCGCCTCAAGTGCGACGTGCTGCAGGACCTGCCGAAGAAGTCGGACCACGTGGCGGTGGTGCCGCTGGCCGCGTCGCAGAAGCACAAGTACGAGCAGCTGGTCGGGTCGTTTCAGAGCGCCAGCGCCGAGACCGGCTACAACGGCATGTCGATGATGTCCGACCTGCGCAAGCTGTCGAACCATCCGCTCTTGCTGCGCTACAACTACGGGCTCGATAAAATTACCGCGATCGCGAAGATCTTGGCCAGCGATCCCAATTACAAGGACACCAAGGTCGAGTACATCGTCGAAGATTTGACGTGGATGTCGGACTTCGAGATACACACCATGGCCAAGAATTTTAGGGCGAGTACCGAATTATTTTATTGTTAGTTGCGATTTTGACAATTTGTCTGTTATTTTTTTCATTTTTGTCAATTTTCCTTTAGACATGTCTTTTTTTAAATTCTGAGCAAGATAATTTTGTTGACATTTAACATTTTTGACATCGTGATTTTTTTACATTTAACATTTTACTGTCATTTATCGGTATTAGTAACTTTTTGAAATCTGTCATTTTATACATCCGTAATTTTTTGACATCTGTCATTTTCTCGGAAAAATTAATTTGTAACGATTATATTTTATCTGTAATTTTTGAATTCTCATTTTTGACATCCGTCATTTTTTTACATTTAACATTTTATTGTCATTTATTGGTATTAGTAACTTTTTGATATCTGCCATTTTCTCGGAAAAAGTTTATTTTGTAACGATTATATTTGGTCTGTAATTTTTGACATCTGTCATTTTTTAAATCTTATTTTTTGACATTGTCATTTTTTTAACTATAAACAGTTTATTTACGATTTTGCCATTTAAATTTTTTATTTTTTGTGTTGTTTTAACATCTCTCATTTTTGAAAATGTAATTTTTTGATTTATGTAATTTTCTGAAACCAGTCATTTTAACATTTGTCATTTTTGCTTCTGACATTTATTTCTTTAAACACCAGTCTTTTTTTACATCTGTCATTTTTTGACATAAGTCATTTTTATAGATTCTGAAAAAATTCATTTTGATACATTTTACTTTTTGAATTCTCATTTTTGACATCCGTCATTTTTTACATTTAACATTTTACTGTCATTTATCGGTATTAGTAACTTTTTGAAATCTGTCATTTTATACATCCGTAATTTTTTGACATCTGTCATTTTCTCGAAAGAAGTTTATTTTGTAACGATTATATTTTATCTGTAATTTTTGACATCTCTCATTTTTTAAATCCTATTTTTTGACAGCTGTCATTTTTTTCAACTATAAACAGTTTATTTACGATTTTGCGATTTAAAATTTTTTATTTTTTATGTGTTGTTGTTTTGACATCTGTCATTTTTGGAAATGTAATTTTTTGATTTATGTAATTTTCTGAAACCAGTCATTTTTTACATTAGTCATTTTTTCTTCTGACATTTTTTTCTTTAGACACCAGTTTTTTTACATCTGTCATTTTTATAGATTCTGAAAAAATTCATTTTGTTACATTTTATCTGTCATTTCTGAAATTTCATTTTAAAATACATAAGGAGCATCTCGTTTTTTGTGCTAAGCAAAAATATGTTAACCTTTATTATTTAATACATATTACAGTTAACACAACAGCGATTTGACATTTTTACATCTATAATTTTTTGACATTTCTCATTTTTTACATTTTTGGACATTTAACATTTTCTTGTAATTTTTTGATATTTTTAACTTTTTGACATCTGTCAGTTTGGACATCTGTAATTTTTGACATTTTATTTGTAATTTCTGACATTTTATTTGAAAATACGTAAAGGAGCATCTCGGTTTTCGGGCTAAACAAAAATATGTTAACCTTTATTATTTTACACTTAACACATTTTTCCTTAACAACAAAAACCACATACGCCTTTGTGTATTTTCAAGGGCGATTTGACATTTTTACATCCATAATGTTTTGACACCTGTCATTTTTTGACATTTAACATTTTCTTGTCATTTATTGGTATTCTTAACTTTTTGACAGCTGTAATTTTTAACAACAGTAATCTTTGACATCTGTCATTTTAGACATCTGTTATTTCTGACATTTTATTTGTAATTTCTAACATTTTATTTGAAAATACATAAAGGAGCATCTCGTTTTTTGTGATAAACAATATACCTACCTTTATTATTTTTTACTTCACTTTGTGTATTTTCAACGGCGATTTGACATTTTTGCATCTATAATTTTTTGATTTTCTTAACTTTTCTGATATCTGACATTTTTTACATGTTATTTTTTCTATAGATTCTGAAAAAGGTAATTTTGTTAAAATTTTGACATTATTTTTGTCAATTTTTCTTTGGACTTGATTTTTATATCTGTCTTTTTTTATATCCTAAGTTAGATAATTTTATTACTATTATGACATTTTATCTGTCATTTCTGACATTTCATTTGAAAACTCGTTTTTTGTGCCAAGCAAAAATATGTTATCCTTTATTATTTACATAATATTACATTTAACACATTTTTGCTTAGCAACAAAAACGACATCTGCCTTCGTGTATTTTTACATGTATAATTTTTTGACACCTGTCATTTTTGACATTCATCATTTTTTTTACATCCGTCATTTTTTGACATTTAACATTTTCTTCTTTTTATTGATATTCGTAACTTTTTTAATCTGTCATTTTTTTTCTCGGAGCAAGTTGATTTTGTAACGATTAAGATATTTTATCTGTCATTTTTGACATCTGATTTTTTATGCTCCATCTTTTTACATCTGTCATTTTTTAAATATAAAAACTTTATTTACGTTTTTGACATTTAAAATTTTTACTCTTCATTATTTCTGTGATTTTTTGACATCTGTCATTTTTGACATTGTAATTTTTTGACACCAGTCATTTTTTAAATTTTTCATTTTTGTCAACTTTAAACAAGTTTATTTAATGACGATTTTGACATCTGTCATTTTTAATTTTGTCTAATTTTTGACACCAGTAATTTTTTTGACATCTGTCATTTTTTTCTTTAAACCTTGAACAAGTTCATTTTGTTACAATTATGACATTTTATGTGTCTTTAGACATCAGATTCTGTAAATTTCTGCTTTTTGAACTTTTTTATAATTGTCATTTTTCTAAATCATCTTTTGATATTTCGTTTTTTGACATCTGTTATTTATTGACATCTGTTATTTTTTCGTTAGACTTGTTAATTTTGCCAAGATTTTGACATTCGTCATTTTTTGACAATGTAATTTTTTTTTACAATTTTGCCATTTAACATTTAATTATGTAATGTTTTGATGTAATTTTTTCACATCTGCCTATTTTTGACAACAACAATTTTGCCTTACACACGAACAATTTTATTTTGTTACGATCTGTTTTGTTTTTACATCTCATTTTTGGCCACCTGTCATTTTTGCTGACAACATTCGTAATTTTTCTTTAGACTCTCACAAAGTTCATTTTGCCCGACAACCTTTTGACCGTTTCCGGTAAGTTTCATCACTTGGACAACATGCTGCCGGATTTGAAGTCCAATGGGCACCGCGTGCTGATTTTCAGCCAATACGTGATCATGTTGAACGTGATGGAGGAGTACTTGCGAGTCAGAAATCACAGCTACCTTAGGCTGGACGGAAGCACGGCCGTCAACATAAGGTGGGGCAACTTTTTCTGATTTTTTTCGAACCCTAATAAAACTCTTTTCCCAGGCAACAACTGATAAACGAGTACACCGAAGACCGCAGCATTTTTATATTTTTGTTGTCGACGAAAGCCGGTGGTTTGGGCATAAATTTGACGGCTGCAGACACGGTGATAATTCACGACATCGATTTTAATCCCTACAACGACAAGCAAGCCGAAGACAGGTGTCATCGTATGGGACAAACGAGACCTGTCACTGTTTACAGGTAGGTTTGCATATTTTTTTCAAAGATGACTTTTTGATACTTATTTTTTATTTATTTACAGGCTGATATCCGAAGGGACCATTGAAGAGGGAATGTTGCAAATGAACAAGGAAAAACTTAAGTTGGAGCGAGAAATCACGACAGACGGTATGTTTTGAACATTTTTTTTATTTAAATTTTTGATATTTCAAGGTGGGAGCAGTATTATTTGACGTTTTTTACATTGTTTGTCATTCTAATATATGTTTTTGTCATTCTAAAATATATTTTTGAATTTTATGGTAATTCTAAACTGTTTTTTTGACATTTTAAGATATTTTGACTATATAAATGTTTTTGACAATGTTTTAAATTGTTTGACAATCTTATTTTTGTTTTTGGCGTTCCCATCATTTTTAGACATTTTGAAAATATTTTATGTATTTTGGAGTTCTAATATGCGTTTTTTATAATTCGGCATTCTTTTTTTGTTTTTGACAATGTTTTATATTGTTTGACATTCTTATTTTTGTTTTTGGCGTTCAAAGTAGATTGTCATTCTTAACTTTGTGTTTATCATTTTTAGACATTTTTATATTTCGGCATTCTTATTTTGTTTTTGGCAATTTTTATGTTTTAACATTTTTAACATTTCTACCTTCTAATCCTGCTTTCATATGGTTTGACATCTTTAAATATGGTTTGACGTTCTAAAATATATTTTCAAAGTGAATTGTCATTCTAAACCGATTTGACATTTTTAAATATTTCATGTTTCTGACGTTCTAAAATGCGTATTTTATAGTTGTCATTGTTATTTTTGTTTTTGACAATTTTTTTACGTTCTAAATGGAATTTTTTATATTGTTTATTTTTTTGACATTTTTTTAAAATTCATTATAAAACTTGTTGGTATAATATGGTTTTTGTTTTTGACATTCTACATTCTTAAAGATGGTTTGGGTATTCTTATTTTTGTTTTTGACGTTCTAAAATACAAATACGACAGTTTTTTTTACATTTTAAGAAATTTTGACGATATTAATGTTTTGACAGGGTTTTATATTGTTTGAAATTCTTATTTTTGTTTTTGTCGTTCTAAGTGGATTTTCATTCTTAACTTGTTTTTGACAATTTATGTTTTGGCTTTTTTAATGTTTTTTATGGTTTTTATATGGTTAGACATCATTAAATATTGTTTGACGTTCTAAAATATATGTTCAAAGTGGATTGCCATTCTTAACTTCGTTTTTATCATTTTTAGACATTTTGACAATATTTAAAAAAAACTGTGTTTTTGACATTTTGACATGTTTTACGCATGTTTTGGTTTTTGACAATTTTTTATGTTTTTACCTTAAAGCGTTTTTTTTATATTGTTGGACATTTTTATTTATTTTTTACATTTTTAAATATATTTTGACTTTTTAACATATGTATACTTTCTAAAACTCCTTTTAAATATATGGATTGAAATTCTTGAAGTTGATTTGACATGCATATTTTTGTTTTTGATGTTCTTAAATATATTTTATAAGTGGAATATCAATGTTAGCTGTGTTTTTGACATTTTGAAATGTTTTGTTATTTTTAACATATTTTTACATTCTAAAACTGCTTTTATGTTTTGACTTTTTTTTTGTTTTTGACATTCTTAAATATGGTTTGACATTCTTATTTTTGTTTTTGATATTTTCTCTACATTTTGGATTTGTTTAACATTTTTTTTATGACATTCTTAGGATAATTTTGCTTTAGACTTTTCATCAAAACCCAACTAAAAATAAGTATTTTTACCTCTAAAAACAATGACATAACTTTTTTTTTTAGAAACCGACAATCCCGACGTGAGAAGTGTGGTTAGGATACTTTCGAGTGCTTTGGGAATTGACCAATCGAAAGCCAACAGCCTCGTCTCCCCAAAAAAGAAAACCTGATTAACGTAGTTTTTATTTTAGTTAATTTATTTACCTCTGAACTTTATTCAACCGACATTTTTTTTACTTTCACCAGCATAATACAATCCAGTTAATGCTGAACAGTAGCACAAGTGATTTCTTAAATTTGTTAGTAAGATAATATATTTGTTTAATTTTATATTTGCTGTAATAAAAATAATGAATGGAACACGTTTTGATTTTTTTATTTTATCCACTCCTACATTGACAAGTCAAAATTGGGGAAAATGAGGTGAAAACTGTTTGACAGACGTCAGATTGATAAAAAGTGAGGTTAAGCTGCTTTAAGTTTGAAGAACTAATTTACAATTAAAATTTGTTTTATAAGCTGGTGATGTTAATAAAAAAGACAAAAAACGAATTAAAAATGGTTTATAGTAAAAAAAAGATACAAAAATATATATTTAAAAAGAGTTGTTATAAATTGTAAAGTTTTAAAAGTCTCCTAAATCATCCTCTGGTTCCACCGGTTTCTTTTTTTGTTTCTTTTTACTGGGGGCCAGTGTTCCCTCTTGAAATCCTTGCTTGAACTTGGCTATAGTTTTATCATCCAAATTAAATCTTGGGTAATGCAGCTGGTACATCAAGGTTTTCTTAAAATGCTCCTTCATCGAAGAAAACGTTCTGTTAAGGCGTCCACTCTCCTCCAATTCATTCCAAAGTGCATTACCTTTCACACGAAAGTACGCCTCATTTTCTATTATGTACTGAATTATTTCATTGGCCTCTTCATGTGAGTAGGGCCTTGCCATTGTGCTTATTCTTTTCTTTAAAACGTTCAAGAAAACCCGCTAAATTCTTTGACATTTAACCAGCTGATTTGTCTATTTGTAGGACCTGCACTAACTCTTCTGGTGCATGGTTTGTTGTATCATGCTTCTGGTGTACACATTTTTGAATAAAAAAACATTTGTATACATTATAAAATTTAAAAAAAGTCTCGAACATAAATAAATCCATTTTTAAATAGATATACTATTTTAAATAAAGATTTATTTATTATTGATTTTAGAATAGGTAGTCAAGTCACAGTGTACACCTATTTCGTTACGCATGAGTTGTCAAAATAACTGAGGCTGATACCATTGAGTAAAGTGTTCTTTACTCAATGCTGATACAATTCAATTAATCAATTTACCAATTAAAACTTAATTATTTTTATTAAAAACGAATTAATACAAAAATAAAATTTTTTAAAATCAATCTTCATTCCAATTTTCACCAACAATTTCACCATTACCAGCTTTTTCAGTGAACATTGGAGCATCCTTTTTCACTTTTGCGTTGATGTTGGCAAAAAACAGCTCGTTTTTCATTTTTGAATCGCAGTCCATCATGTGATCTTGCAAAAGTTGTTTCGTTAAAAACCGGTGAAGGGCGTTATAGGGACACACTTCATGATCGGGGTAATTTTTCATGCAACGAAGAATGTGCCTTTGAAGTGAGCTTTTATGTACCACATGATGGGAGTTGAAAGGACAAAGTACCATAGGTTCTGCTTCCGACCTAAAAATATATAATGTTAAGATAATTATAATGTTTAAACAATAACTTACATTTTGTTAGTTTGGTTAGAAACAACAAATACGCAAAAGACAAAAAATATAGTGGTGACATCTATAATCAATTGCGCGAAACTTGAACTCAAAACGCAACCAAGCTTACACTACGATATAATTGTTGCATAACAAACAGGGGATACAATTATTTATTTGTAAAATTATTTAAATTTCGCATAAAAAAGCATATAAACAAAGCAAATAGGCTTTAATAGTGCTCATTAAGCAAAACATATTGCAAATGTGGAGGCTCAACTTGTTTTTTTCGGTTAAATTTAGCAAAACCTGTTCACCAAATTTCCCAATTTAAAGTTTTTGCCTGCATACGCAGGTTGTGAGGCCAATAATAATTTTCAAAAATAGACTCTGCCGAGTGTATTTAATTCAGACTTATTTCTCGCTTTCAGTTTTTACTTGGGCACCTCTAAATACGCTTTCGTTTTTACATTTTCCTCATTTTTACCGGCAATTTATTTTGAATCAAATTTTTGATACACGAAATGGCCTACACTTGGGATAACAGAGTTAATTTTGTCGTTAAATATTTATACGGTATGTAAATAATATGAATTATTGTGAAAATGCATTTGTATGAAAATAAACTTATTGTATTAATAGGTAAAAATGTTCCAGTAGATTTAAAAATAACTTATTTTTAAAATTAGGATCATATTAACACATGTTTTCGTTTTATTTTTGCTTATTTAACTCTATTTTCGCAATTTTCCACTAAAAAATGAGTTTATTACCCCGAAACATTATTTTTGGCAATAACTCAATTAAAATTAACAACGAATGCAACATTAATTTTGTCGTTATTTTAACTTTTATTACCCACTTACAAACAAAAATAGCGATTGCCATGAACAACAGGGTTGCTATGGCAATAAAGCCGTTGTTATGGCAATAGGGCCGTTGCCAGGTGATTTATTTACCCTGGTAACGGTTGCCAAGGGCGATATAACTGTCAAAATAAACTTAATTCTTTAGATGTGGATAACAATGGGTATTTGGACGAACGGGATTTCGCCTGTTTGGCCTTAAGGGCGGCCATTATCGAGGGGAAAGGGGAGTTTAGTTATAATAGGTTGCAAGAACATCAACACATCATGTTGAGTTTGTGGGAGGAGATCGCTGAATTGGCCGATTTTGATAAGGTAAGTGATAATGTTTTGTTTTGCTTTTTCGCATTTATTTTAAGTTTACTTGGTTACTACTAATATTAAACACTACACATTACACTTGAACCCCTTGTATACTGTCTTTTTGCAATGTTTTTGTTTTTTGTTTTGTGCACTGTAACATTTTCCGTCTAGAAAAGGACGGTCACCATTGTTTAAAAACAAATCAGAAAATTATGACGTCATTGTGGGAGGGGCTAATTGAGCATCCTAATCCATTGTTGCCACATATTAACAAGTGTTTTTTTACCTTAATTATAAGATTTGCATAATTTAAATTATATCCCGTATGGTCTTGGGTTCGATTCCGATGCTGAAAAACTTTTTTAAATTTTTTTCTCCGACGGTCCTTTCCTAGCTAGATGCGAGTGTATTTTGTTTTTAGAGTTCTAAGAACTTTTTTTGTATAAAGTGGTGATTTTTTGGCAAACAAAAAATGTATTTTTGAACAGTAATTAGAAGGATTATTTCCGTGTAATTTCTGCCAAATTACGCACCGTTAAAAAAATAAATGAAGCAGAAATAAAATAATATTTTTTTATCGATTGCCAAACATCGATAAAATTTGATCTTGAAATTATTGGCAGGCGATAATGACTTTTAAATAGCGCTAAATTTTATTGGGATAGTAAAGAAAAAATCGTACAGAAATATATTTGAAAACGTGTTGCAAGAATCCAAAAATAAAACAATTAATAACTGACAATGTTGCGTTTGTTTGCATGGGTCAAAGAATTAACTTTTGGCACAAATTAAGTCAGAAACATCAATTATATCATAAAATGCATATTTTCATCTTGGCAAGAATTGGTCGATGAAACAATATTTTAATATCCAAATAATACATTATTTTTAGAAACCTATTTTTTATCACCACGATTTTCATATGTTTTTTGTCCCACAGATAACACAGTGTGCTAACATGCGTTTTTTTCCGTTTTTTCTACTGTCTAGGACCTTTTGCAGGACGGAAAAATAACAGTGGACGAATTCAAAATGGCCGTGCAACAGTGCTGTTTCAGCAGAAGATACGAAGATTTTCCGCAAGCTATGAAGATGTTTATTGACTCTAACTTCAAAATGCTCGATTTAAACGACGACGGTGTGGTCGATGCCGACGAATATCGCTTCAACTGCATCACGAAGTTCGCTATTGATGACGTGGACATCGTAGACGAAGCCTTCAATAACCTCCTCAACGTGAGTATGTCCAAAACATCGAAAAAATCACCAAAAACGGCAAAACTACCCCTAACTAACGCCCTCTATGCCTCAGCGCTCGAATTACGCAACCTAACATTAGGCAACCCCTGTTACACAATTTTATTACAAATTTTTTAATTTAGGATGATGACAGAAGAAGAGGGGGTTTAACTTTGTCAAGATATCAAGAATTATACGCGGAATTTCTTGGCAACCCCGAAGAGACCCCTGCGGTCTACCTTTTCGGCCCCCTCTCCGAATTTTTCTACCCCGAGGAAGTTTAAAAGTATTCGCCCTATCTACCGACTGATATTTTAAAGACAACTTTAAACCCTATTTATTAAATCTTTATAGCTTATATATAATAATTATTATTAAAAGTAGTTGTAGTCGTTATTGCCATTGTTATTATCATTGAGTTTGTTTTTGTTTGAACGTCACTTGTTACATTTTATAATTTTCTAAATATAAACATGTTTTTATCTCACTGTTTTATTTATATTACCCACTAAAATTAGCGACACCTACTGACGAACTCTTAAACCGCACACAGGAACCTGTGCTGTCATCCGCCCACATATTTGACAGATGAATAACCTAACATAACATAAGTAAATAAAGTTAATTATCTCGAAAAAAACGTAAATATCGTAACAATGACCGATATATTCGATCAATTCGAACAAGCTTCGATGAAAACGAAGTCCAATAGTCTAAGCAACGCCGAAATGGTCAGTATATGAACAATAACGTTCAAATTTTGTATTTATATCGAATTTTAGAGTACTTTGGGGTACATAAATATGACCACAGAGCAGGAAGTTCCCATATTCAATAAAAGCAAAAAGGATTTTAGACCGCCCGATAAATTTACGCATGTAGCTATATCGAACAAATACTTTGTAGGGGCTATGCATGATGGTACTCTTATAAGAATGAATTTGCACAACCCACAAGAAACAGACCGTATGTAGCCACAAATAAACTATAATTGGCAATATTCAACATATTTTTACAGGAATAACTCTTACAAAATATACGCCAAAGCTAAAGTTATCAAACCTATTTCTTGACCCAAATGGGAATCATCTATTGCTCACTCTAGCGCCCAAGCCACTTATGGGGCCCGAAGTGGGGCCGGAATTGTTATACTTGTCAAGAAAATCGACTAAATTAAAGTCTACAAGTAAATTTAGGGGTCACGAGATCACAGAAGTGGCATGGTGTTTAACAAATGATTCTGAGAGCACTACAGGTCCCATTTTATTAGGTAAGTAGAAGTTTTTACATTTTAAAATTATTTTTGACACAATGGAATTCTAAAATGTGATTTTGACATTTAAACATTTGTTTTGACACTTTAAAATTGGTTTTTGACATTCCAAAGTGAGTTTTTGATCCTCAAACAAGTTTTTACATTCTAAAAAAACAAAAATATGTTTTTTTTAATCTAAAATGGGATTTTGAAATTCTAAAATATAATTTTTACATTCTAAAATGAGTTTTGACACTAAATGTTTTGACATTTCAAAATAAGATTTAGACATTCTAAAATGTGACTGACATTCTAAAATAAGTTTTGACACTAAATGTTTTTTATTCTAAAATGTGATTTTGACATTATAAAATTTGTTTTAACATATTAAAAGTGGTTTTTAACATTCTAAATTGTGTTTTTTTTCATTTTGTGTTTTGACTTTTTAAAACAAGTTCTGACATTTCAAAATATTTTTTTTTCTTTTAAAATTTGATTTTGACATTCTAAGTTGTTATTTTTACATTCTAAAATAAGATTTAGACTATCTAAAATGTGTGAGATTCAAAAATAATTTTTGACACTAAAAGATTTGTATTCTAAAATGTGATTTTGACATTTTAAAATTTGTTTTTACATATTAAAATTGGTTTTAGACATTCTAACATGTGTTTCTTTTCATTCTGTGTTTTGACTTCTTAAAACAAGTTCTGAAATCTCAAAATATATTTTTTTCTTTTAAAATTTGATTTTGACATTCTAAGATGTTATTTTTACATTCTAAAATTAGACTATCTAAAATGTTACTGAGATTCTAAAATAATTTTTGACACTAAATGCTTTCTATTCCAAAATGTGATTTTGACATTATAAAATTTGTTTTAACATTTTAAAATTGGTTTTTGACATTCTAAAATGTGTTTCTTTTCATTCTGTGTTTTAACTTCTTAAAACAAGTTCTGAAATCTCAAAATATATTTTTTTCTTTTAAAATTTGATTTTGACATTTTAAGATGTTATTTTTACATTCTAAAATGAGATTTAGACTATATAAAATGTGACTGATATTCTAAAATAATTTTTGACACTAAATGTTTTGTACTCTAAAATGTGATTTTGACATTATACAATTTGTTTACATTTTAAAAATGGTTTTTGACATTCTAAAATGTGTTTTTTCATTCTGTGTTTTGACAGTTTAATACAAGTTTTGACATTCCAAAATATGTTTTTCCATTTAAAATGTAACTTTGACATTCCAAGATGTTATTTTCACATTTTAAAATGTGATTTTAACATTCTTAAATGTGACTGACATTCTAATATGAGTTTTAACACTAAATGTTTTGTATTCTAAAATATAATATTGACAATTCAAAATTTGTTTTTGACATAAAATTTGTTTCAACATATTAAAATTGGTTTTTGACATTCTAAAATGTGTTTTTTCATTCTGTATTTTGAAATTTTAAAACAAGTTTTGACATTTCACAATATACTTTTTCCTTCTTAAATGTGAATTTTACATTCCAAAATGACATTTGTCATTCTAAATGTTTTTTTTATTTTATAATATGATTTTGACATTTTGAAATTTTAAAATTGATTTTTGTAAACTTTTGACAAATAAAAAAGATTTGACATTATTTTTCCTTTTAAAATCTAATTTTGAAATTCTGAAATGTGATTTTCACATTTTAGAATGTAATTTTGACAAATTCTGAAATAAGATTTTGATATTCTAAAATAAGGTTTTTTATTCTAAAATGTGATTTTGACACTTTAAATGTGTTTTGACTTTTAAGGCACATCAAAAGGTCTAATTTTTGAAACGGAATATGTTTTGGAAGGAGAAAAATTCTTTACCGCCGGGTTTTCCTCAAACTTGGAGCAATATTGGAGACAGGTAAGCATTTTTTTTATAAAATATAAAAAAATAAATGTTTTAAAAATTTGTATCATTATACCTACACAAGCTGCCCAATTATTTACCTTTATACGGTAACAAAGAAGTGGAGGGGTTGGTAAGATGACTAAAAAATAACAAATTCACATAATTATGACATTTCCTCAAGGTTTTTGACATTGGCAAAGGCACCAACACCCCGATAACAGGCTTGGAGTACTTCAAAGTACACTCGAACAACCGCTACGTTATTTTCGCCGCCACGCCGTCCAGACTTTACTATTTCACCGGGAAAGCCGACTTGGACGAAAAACCGTTACTGCAGCAGGTGTTCAACAAATATCTGAACGTACCGGAACCGGAAACGTTCATAGAGCGAGGCAGCGCGCTGCGATACTCGCGCATACAGTTCTGGTCGGAGAATCTGGTCACCCCGAACAGTTTCGCTTGGATAACTGAAGGTGGCGTCACCTATGGGGAGGTAACGTGAAATAGCACGATGCGAAATTGTTTTTTAACGTTACTTTTGCAGTTTGACCCCAACGTGGACGAAAGTATCGCCTCTATCGATAAAAAATGCAAAGTGGTCGGCTATCCAAAGCCTCAGTACGAAGATTATTCCGTCTCGCCAAAATATCCGCATTCCATAGCACTGACGCAATTCCACATACTTTTGGCTTACAATGACTCCATCAAAGGGGTTTGTTTATTGAACCAAGAAGTTGTGTATGAGGATAACTATAATGAAGCATTTGGGAGGCTAATAAACATTATCAAAGACCAAAAAACAGGTATAATTTATCAAAATTATGATTTTACCATTATTAAATGTGATTTTGACACCCTTAGATTTGCTTTGTACATTTTGAAATGTGCTGATAGTCTTAACCATATTTCCAAAATTCTTAAATATGTTTATGACTTTATGAAATGTTTTGACACTTTTTAAATGTGATTTTGATACTTTAAATATGTTTTTGACTCCTAAATGAGTTTTTAACGCTAAAATGAAAATAAAGGTATTAAATGTGCTTTTGACTCGTAATTTTGTGATTGACATTGGAACCGGTGTTTGAACACTTCTTAAATGTGATTTTGACAACTTAAATATGTTTTTGACACTTAAATAAGTTTATAAAGCTGACATGAGAATGAAGGTTTTAAATATGTTTTGACACTCTTAAATTTGCTTTGACACTCTACAAATCTAAACCATATTTTCACCGAATCTAGGAAATAATACCCCTGGAAAAAAAACCACGGAAAAAAAACCCCCGAAAAAAAAACCCCCGGAAAAAATACCCTAGGAAAAAAAACCCAAGAAAAAAAACCCAAGAAAAAAAAGGCAAAAAATAAATCCCGGTTTGACGAGTGTCACATAAAAAATGCAAAAATTGTAAAAATACCGCAAAAATGAGCGAAACCAACCCAAATCAACCCAAACTCAACAACACAACCCTACCGACCCCGCCCCATTGGCCCCCCCCGCCCCATTGAGTAAAAATCTCCGAAATTGGCAAAAATAAAAAAAATTGCAAAAATCAATGCCCAAAAATGCTAAAAATTGTAAAAAAAATTGTAAAAAAATTCTAAAAAAGTTAAAAAAAAAATATAAAAAAATTGTTAAAAAATTCCGAAAAAAATTGTAAGGGGTATTTTTTCCTGTAGGTTTATTTTCCTAGGGGTTTTTTTTTCCGGGGGTTTTTTTCCATGGTTTTTTTTTTGGGGGCTTTTTTTCCGTTTACCATTTTCACCATTCTTAAATATGTTTATGAAGTCCTGGAATGTTTTGACAATCATAATTTTGTGTCTGACATTTTTTAAATTTGTTTTTGACACCTTTAATGAGTTTTTAACGCTAAAATTTGAGTGAACGTATTTAATATGATTTGACACTCTTAAATTTGCTTTGGACATTTTAAAATGTGCTTTTGACATTCTCCAAGTTTAAACCATATTTTTACCATTCTTAAATTTGTTTATAATGTTCTGAAATGTTTTGACACTCCTAATTTTGTGTTTGACATTAAAGGATGTGTTTTGACACTTTGTTTTTTACACCTTAAATAATCTTTTAACGCTAAAATTTGAGTAAAGGTATTAAATATAAATTGACACTCTTAAATTAGCTTTGTACAATTGAAAATGTGCTTTTGACATTTTAAAATGTGCCTTTAACATTCTCCAAGTCTAAACCATATTTCCACATTTCTTAGATATGTTCATGACGTTCTAAAATGTTTGGACACTTCTAATTTTGTGTTTAAAATTAAAAGGTGTGTTTTGACACGTTTTAAATTTGATTTTGACATCTTTAATATGAATTTTGACACTTTTAAATGAGTTTTAACGTTAAAATGTGCTTCTGACACTATCCAAGCCTAAACCAAATTATCACTATTTTTAAATATGTTTATGACGTTCTGAAATGTTTTGACACTCATTAAACATTAAAAAAGTGTTTGACACCTCTTAAATAAGTTTTTGACACATTTAATAAGTTTTTAACGCTAAAATGAGAGTAAAGGTATTAAATATGATTTGACACTCTTAGATTTGCTTTGGACAATTTAAAATGTGATTTGGACATTTTAAAATGTACTTTTGACTTTCTTAAATTCTAAATCATATTTTCAACATTTTTAAATATATTTAAATGTGATTTTGACACCTTAAATATGTTTTTGACACTCTTAAATAAGTTTTTAACGCTAAAATGAGAATGAAGGAATTAAATATGTTTTGACACTCTTAAATGTGCTTTTGACATTCTCCAAGTCTAAACCATATTTCCTCCATTCTTAAATATGTTTATGACGTTCTAAAAGGTTTTGAGACTATTAATTTTGTCTTTGACATTAAAAGATGTGTTTAGACAATTCTTAAATATGATTTTGACACTTTGAATATGTTTTAAACACTCTTAAATTCGCTTAAATGTGATTTTGACACTCTACAAGTCTAAAGCATATTTTCACCATTCCTTAAAATGTTTGTCTTCTTAAATGTGATTTTGACACCTTAAATATGTTTTTGACACTTAAATGAGTTTTTAACGCTAAAATAAATAAATAAATATGTTTCGTAAATATGTTTTGACATTCTTAAATTTGCTTAAATGTGATTTTGACACTCTACAAGTCCAAAGCATATTTTTAACATTCTAAAATATGTTTATGACGTTCTGGAATGTTTTGACAATCCTAATTTTGTGATTGACATTTTGATACTTCTTAAATGTGATTTTGACATCTTAAATATGTTTTTGACACTCTAAAATGATATGATTTTGACACTGTACAAGTCTAAAACATATGTTTATGACGTTCTGAAATGTTTTGACAATTATGTTTTTGACAATAAAAGGACATTTTAAATGTGTTTTCGATATTCTAAAAAATGTATTGAAACTCTTAACCTTGTTTTGAACTTTTAAAATATGACTTGGACATTCTCAACCCACAAAACACTTTTTTGAAGGTGAAATATGGGCTGTGACGGAAAGCGCGGTCTTTCGCTTCAAAATAACGCGCGAAGAACGCAACGTCTGGAAAATATTCTCCGACAACCAGCAATTCGACCTGGCCAAAAAATATTCACGCGGAAACGAAGCTAGCTACAACCAGGTGCTGATAAAAGAGGCCGACATGCTCTTCAACGGCAAGGAGTACGAACTGAGCGCCCAGAGGTACGCCGAGACTCAGTCGAGCTTCGAGGAGATCTGTTTGAAGTTCATACAAGTCGATCAGTCGGATTCCCTAAATATTTTCTTGAGGAACAAGTTGGATACCTTAAAGCCGCAGGACAAAACTCAAATCACCATGATTGTGATTTGGGTTGTGGAGTTGTACTTGAATAAGTTGGAGGAGAAACGATTGCAGGGTTTGGAGCAGACTGCCGGCTACGACGCCGTACAGAAGGAGTTTGAAACGTTTTTGGCTTTAAAGGAGGTTTCCGATTGCATTAGGAAAAATAAACAGACTATATATGATCTAATGGCCAGCCATGGCGATAAAAGCAACATAATATGGCTCACCATCGTCAATAAGGACTTCGAGCAAGTAGGGGTGTATAATATAATTCTACCGGGGTGTTTAATATAACTTTTAGCTTATTCGACATCACATCTACAAGAACAACTTCAGGGAGGCCTTGCAGGTGCTGAAAAGCCAAAACAACTTGGATTTGTACTACCAATTCGCCCCGATTTTGATGCAAGAAGAGCCCAAGTACATGGTCAAAAGTATCATCGAGCAAGGGAAAAAATTGCAACCTTTAAAGTTGCTACCGGCCATGGTGAGTTACCAGGGCGAACTGCACGCCAGGGAGGTCATGGTTTACCTTGAGTTTTGCATAGACAAACTCAAAAGCACGGAAAAGGCGATACACAACTTTTTGCTGTCTCTGTACGCGAAATACGATTCAGCCAAGTTGCTTGTGTATCTCAACCAGCAAGGCCAAGATATGGTGAGTAATTTTAGGAAAATAAATATCCAATCTGCTGCCCAGAGAACCAAGGCCATTTTTTTTAAATTTAAACAAAATTTGGCAACTCTTTTAACAGAATCTGGAAACGCTGGTTGTTACCAACCATAACATAATAAATTAAATTAGGCAACCAGATTAGCCTAAAGTTCCTAGTCGATCAGTGGCGTCTTTTTGTTGGGATTAAGGTTATTATAAACTATTTTTAGTCTTTGGAAATTAGAAAAATGTATATAAATAGTTTTATTTACCCAATTTTCAAATACAAATCAAGAAAATTGTATTTTAATCCGTTTTCAAGGTAAACTACGACATTCACTTCGCTCTACGGCTGTGCTACGAAAGCAAGCTGACGTCAGCTTGTGTGCAGCTCTCGGGTTTGTTAGGTCTATGGGAGTCGGCAGTGGAGTTGGCTTTGACAGTTAGCGTCGATAAAGCCATCGAGTTGGCAAACATGCCTCCGGAAAACGATTTGGAGCTGCGGAAAAAATTGTGGCTTAAGATAGGTCGGTTGGCGCCTAAAGCCTGAATTATAGATTGCCTTCCTTCCTTTCTCCCCTAGAAGATGAACAATACGAAACATTTTTGACGTAATTGTCACCATTAACATTTCCCGTGTAAGAATTTTTAATACTTTGTGTTAATATTTTTCAATTATAGTAATAAAAAATCAAAGGATAAAATATTTTCCTAACAAAATCATATTTTGAAGTTATTTTAATATTTTAAAATATCAATAATTGTTAAGTTTAATTAAAATTAATAACGGGCAATGTTAATGGTGACAATTACGTTAAAAATGTTTATTTAAATCGTAGTGCTATTTATAGATTCCCGTACCGTAAGGACGGCATTCCTTCCTCCCGTAGAAATTTTTAAGTTTTATCTTTCACCGTAAAGGTCTTTGACATGACCAATCACAGTGCTTGTTATGGACATGCGCTGTAGGGTGACAGCGCGTAGGCACAAAATATTTAAAATACATGATTGTTTAGTATTATTTAAGATAAGTGTTCAGTTTATTAAATAATTTGTGTCTCTAAATAGGATATTTAGATATTGTTTATGATCAATGTCTTTCAATTTTAGAAACGTTGCTTGTAAAACCCCGTAGTTTCCCGGTCTTGGTAAAGTGGGCGAGTCTTCCAACGTCTTGTTCGATGTTTTTTTTTTCATTAGACTGCCCTACTATGGAGAAAGGCAGTACTTAACTGCAAACAAATTCTAAATGCGTTTTCCTGTGCTTTGGCTATAGACATTTTGTATCTTAATTCAACAAAGAAATGTAGTATAAGTTAAATAAATCAGTTAAATACCTACCGCTTTTTATAAAAATGTAGTTTATGCTAATTTTCCACAAATTTCTTGTTTAGCAGTTACTGCCTTTCTCCATAGTTGGGCTGTATACAACAAGCTGCCTTGGCAATTAAAATTGTGATCACTGCTCTAATATAAAATGTTTATCTTTCATATTTACACACAATGGGTAAAACTCAAAATATAAACAAAAACAAATGTCAAGCATTTTAGGTGCCATCGCGCATGGTTACGGAATTTTACACGGAAATCTATAAATTGACTTTTTACAAGACGCACAAATCGTACGGGCACGACTACGGGAGAAAGGAAGGAAGGCAATCTATAATTCAGGCTTAATTTAAGTTGCGATTTAAAAAATGTTCTTTCTTCCTTCTTTCAGCCCAACACGTCGTCAGCGGGAAAGACGACATCCAGCAGGCTATGCAATTCCTCAAAAGGTGCGATCTTCTAAGAATCGAAGACATTCTCCCGTTCTTCTCTGATTTCGTGACCATAGATCATTTCAAGGACGCCATTTGTAAGTCCTTGAAGGAGTACAACCAAAACATCAAGGATTTAAAGGCTGAGATGGAGGACGCGACGAAATCGGCCGAGCAAGTCCGAGAAGAAATCCAGTCCTTCAGAAATAAATTCACCAACATCAGCAGTTCTGATATCTGTGATTTGTGCATTAATATTTTGATGATACGGCCCTTCTATTTGTTTCCTTGCCATCACAAGTTTCACAGCGATTGCCTGCTACACGAGCTGAGTCCATCCTTAGGTAAAATTGTGTTATACTTTTAACTACATATCTACATGTAATGTAATTTTAGGTCCAGCGAAGAAAAATCGCTTGTCAGAGTTGGAACGACAACTGAAACACATAAACAACCAAAGCAACATCGATAATTTAAGCACTGGCTCCACGGGAATGTCAACCAAAGATATAATAAAGGCAGAAATTGATAACATTTTAGCATCTGAATGCGTATATTGTGGGGAAAATATGATCAGAAATATTGATATGCCTTTCATTAAAGATAGCGAATATAATTTAATATTGAAAGAATGGGAATAAACATACAAATATACCTATGACAAGCAGTTTTTTATTTCAACATATTTAGTGCGTCATCAAAATCATAAATAACGAAGTTACGATTTTGACGAATTGGCGCCCAACTAAATTATTTTAATATCTCTGCCATTTATAAACCGATTTTATTAAAAGGGTTAATGACATATTTTATTGAGCGAATAAAAGACGTTTAAATATGTTTTGACGGTCTTAAATTTGCTTTGAACATTTTAAAATGTGCTTCCAAAGTATAAACCAAATTTTCACTATTTTTAAATATGTCTATGACGTTCTAAAAAGGTTTTGACACTCTTAATTTTGTGTTTGACATTAAAAGATGTATTTTGACACTTCTTAAATTTGTTTTTGACACCTTAAATGAGTTTTAACGCTAAAATTAGAGTGATTGTATTCAATATGATTTGACACTCCTTAATTTGCTTTGGACAATTTAAAATGTGCTTTTGACATTTTAAAATGACTTTTGACATTTTTAAGTCTAAATCATACATTCTTAAATATCTTTATGATGAGGGTTTGACATTAAAATATGTGTTTTGACGCTTGTCAAATGTGATTTTGACACCTTCAATGTGTTTTTGACATAAAATAAGTTTTTAACGTTAAAATGACAATGACGGTATTAAATTTGTTTTGACACTCTTAAATATGCTTTGGACATTTTAAAATGTGCTTTTGACATTTTCTAGGTCTAATCGATATTTCCACCATTCTTAAATATGTTTATGACGTTCTAAAATGTTTTGAGACTTTTAATTTTGTGTTTAACATAAAAAGATATGTTTAGACACTTCTTAAATGTGATGTTGACACCTTAAATATGTTTTTGACACTCTTAAATGAATTTTTAACGCTAAAATGAAAATGAAGGGATTAAGTATGTAAGTGATTTTGACACCCTAAATATGTTTTTGACGCGTCAAAATGAGAGTGAAGGTATTGCATATGTTTTGACGGTCTTAAATTTGCTTTGGAAATTTTAAAATGTGCTTCTGACACTATCCAAGTATAAACCAAATTTCCTCTATTTTTAAATATATTTAAACGTTCTGAAATGTTTTGACACTCTTAATTTTGTGTTTTATTAAAAGATGTGTTTTGACACTTCTTGAATTTGTTTTTGGCACCTTACATGAGTTTTTAACGCTAAAGTGAGAGTGAGGGTATTATATATGATTTGACACTCCTTAATTTGCTTTGGACATTTTAAAATGACTTTTGACATTCTTAAAGTCTAAATCATATTTTCATCATTCTTAAATATGTTTATGTTGTTAAAATTAAATGTGTTTTGACACTTGCAAAATATGATTTAGACACCTTCAATATGTTTTTGACTTTCTCAAATAAGTATTTAACGTTAAAATGAAAATGAAGGTATTAAGTATGTTTTTAACACTCTTAAATTTGCTTAAATATGTTTATGACGTTTTAAAATGTTTTGACACTTCTTAAATGTGATTTTGACCCCTTAAATATGTTTTTGACACTCTTAAATGAGTTTTTAACGTTAAAATGAAAATAAAGATATTATATGTTTTTAACACTCTTAAATTTGCTTAAATATGTTTATGACGTTTTAAAATGTTTTGGCACTTCTTAAATTTGATTTTGACACCTTAAATATGTTTTTGACACTCCTTAATGAATATTTAACGCTAAAATGAAAATTAAGGTATTAAGTATGTTTTTAACACTCTTAAATTTGCTTAAATATGTTTATGACGTTCTAAAATGTTTTGAAACTTCTTAAATATGTTTTGACACTTAAATTTGGGTAAATGTGCTTTTGACAATTTTCGAGTCTAAACCATATTTACACCATTCTTAAATATGTGTTTGACGTTCTAAAATGTTTTGACACTTTATGTTTTTGAAAGTACTAAGACATTTTTAAATTTATTTCATTAAAATTTTCAGGGTAAATTAAGAAAAGTATCTATCAAATGACATTAATAAATTTTCTGTGTTCAGGCGCATCCGCCATTTTTTTAATTCTTAAACATGTTGACATTTTGTAACATATTTTTGATATTTCTAGATGTATTTTTAAAGGGTAAATGATACAATTTTTTTAATATTTTAGCAATTTTATTGAGCGAATAAAAGACGTTTAAATTTTTAAAATTTTATTACACCAACATATTTAATATATTCATAAGTTTGAAATAACAAAAGTTTCGTTAATAGAAAATTTGAAATAATAAAAAAGTAACTTAAATTAAAGCATTTTAACCCATAAAGCGTTAGAAAAAATATATTTACATAAAAATTAGAGTCGTTTTTTGTAATCCCTTTGACCTGTTGCGTAAAAAATTATACATATGTAGTTCGATCTGGGTTCCACCAGAATTTAATTGAAAATATTTTTTGGTGGTAGAACTTCAATCAAGTCCGTTTTTTGTAGTTTGATGAAGCTTATATTCTAGCTAATAATCTTAGCCTAATTTTACATTACAGTATATAAGTACATCTGTGGGCATCTGAGTATATTGAGGTATTATAGTATTTTGTCGTTTTTTATTTTAATTATTTTTAATCATAAACAGTGTGTTGTACTCGACTTCAAGGCATCTTGTTGCTTATATATTGAGGGAACGGATAAAAAACGCATCTTCTTCTTTCGTTTCGCAAAAAACGCCCAAGCGGCGATTTCGGCGAAATTTTTTTATAAAAAAATTAACATATACAATCCTTGGGGCAGTGCTGTTTGTTAGTCTAAATTTTCGTTCTATTTTCCCTTACCAATCTAACCTTTCGGATGAAACAAGTGGTTTTTTACGACTCTCGATTGTTTTTCGTTGAGGGTGGTGGCATTTCCGAAGGCTGCGTCTAAAAACCAGCTAGACGCAAAAAAAATCGTCGAAATCGGCCCATGAATAACGAAGTTGCGATTTTGACGGATTGGCGCCCATCTTAAATAAACTAAAATATTGAATATCTCGGCCATTTATACACCGAATTGATTGAAATTTTCGGGGTATACTGAAAAAAATATCATTTTTTAAATGGCATTAACAAATCTTTTCTACGTGGTAAGCCAAGTCCGCCATTTTTGATACTAATATTTTTTTGTAATTTTTTATAACTTCTTTATTTTTGAAGCGATTTGGATGATTTTTTCGGGGTATACCAATCGAAATACGCCCGTTTCAACGAAAAACAATTGAGTTCCGTATAATTGACATTTGGCTGGCGATTTGACCTTGTGTGCGTTTTGAGCAATTTTAGTGGATTTTCGAAGGTTAAATTGGTATTAATTAATAAAAAAATGTTACATTTTTAACACCACATACACTATATACTAAGTCACGCAAATCCGATTTTCTTTAAAAGTAGTAACAAAATCTACAAACAATGTTTTGCACAAACCATTTTTTCATTTTAGAAAGATAAAATTTCAAATGTATATAATTTTTTTATAAAATATCTAAACCACTACCTATAGTGATAGGTACAAATTTGTTTTTTAATACTGACGTTTTTTAAATATATAAATTACTTCAGCAAAATTTCTTGGCTTTTTTCTTTAGATATGCGAAATTTGTTTTCAACAAATTGATATCTTGACTTAAAATCTAGGTTTGCTACATTTAAATAACAAAAAATTTACATTCCGCGGCATTTTGATGCCGCCATCTTGGATTCAAAAATTTTATGGCACGTTTCGAAATTTTTCGTAATTTTAAAAAAATATTTTTTTCATTTGTTTCTGAATAAAATGTGTCTTTGGTTGAACCATATCACAAAAATAAATGAATAAATTAATTTATAACCTAATCAGACGAATCCTTTTTTAGTCACAGCACTAAACAGTCAAAATGTAATAAGTAAACAAATTTCTTTAATATATATATATGTATGTATTTTGCCGAGTGAGAAAATCGTGCCCAGATCAAGAAAAACAAATTTACATAAAAATTCCGCGACTTGTTGACGGTTTTGTTCCACTTAAAATTAACCTAAAATCACAGAAACAAATTTAACAAGAAAACCCAAAAAATTTCAACTACTCTCGAAACAAAACCCCTCAACAAGTCACGAAAGAAACACAGAACAGTAACTTATATTTAATAATAATAATAATTGGCACATATTTACAACAATATTAACCCTGGAAAGATATGTAAAACGTGAATTAACACAGTAGTTCGTGGCATGTAGTAATAAAACCACCGAGAATATCGTTAATAATAATAATAATAACACTAAACTGTTTATTTTGGCACGTTCGCCCTTCAAATGCTTCGTTTAACATCACATGCGCAGTAACAGTCCCCGAACAGTAGCGACACCTATGTTGCGGTAGCGGAATTAGGCCTCTAGTTGAGTAAAAAAATAACCTGAGCAGTTTTGTGCGGTTCAAGGGGAATGTCGTTACTGTTCGCGATAACAGAGGATGAAACCATTCGTGATATATTTTGTTGTCGATAACACAGATTTCAAATGATATGGAGTTGGTTTTGTGGGGGAGGGGGGATATGTTCTATATAGTCTGTGAGTTGTATAGAATATAAAAACTACGCTCTGGTTTTGTACTTGCGGTTTAAAATGCTGGGAAGTGATGAGCGCAAACTCGCTGTGGTTGAACGTTATTTAAGAAAAAGTGGGTACGCTGTTGATTTTTTAAATATCTGGTGGCATATTATTGTAGGGAATTTAATTTTGAACAAAAAGTTGTATGTGGTATTTTTTCGATTTTGACTTGGTTTGGGAGATAAATGCGGTTTTGTTGCGATATGTTTTTCTTTTATGTGGTAGGGTGGAGCGAAAAAAAAAATTGTTTTTTTCCTTAGCCTGGGAGTGGAATTTGTAGCCTATAAAAAAAGAATATTTTTGAAAAAAAAAAATTTTTTACTCAACGTCTTAAATTTAAGTTAAAATTATTTTGAATAAAAAAAAAAATTTTTAGCTTGTAATCTTCAAATTTATCTAAAAATAAACAAATTTGATCGTGTTCAACTCGAAATTCGCTCTATTGCCTCAGAAAAGCATGTTACTATTTTGGAATTTTTTTAAAAACAATAATGACCACAAATTTTTTTTTAAGTTCATAACTGTTAATTAGCAAGAAAGAGGACACTCTGCAGTTTACAAGCCAATTTTTTTTTATTCAAAAGAATTTTAACTTAAATTTAATTTAAAAAATCAGTGGGCCACCTCAAGACGTTGAGTAAAAATTTTTTTTTTTCCCAGCTAAGGAAAAAAATTTTTTTTTTTCGCTTCACCCTATTATGTAGCAGATGAGAAAACTGCAAATATATTCTAAACGAAGGTAAATTCGAAAAAATTTGTAGGGGTAACTTTTGTTGGGGGTTAAATTCTCTATAAGAGTGCGCTGAAAAAAATTTGAAAAATCATTGGCGTACCTATTTTTTCGTTAAGGGAACGTTCGGTTAGCAGTTTTTGCTCGTCATTTCTTTAGTTCTGTGTTTATTATTGGAGGCGCGCCGATTGCTGCGGCTGGTGTTGATTCGATTGCAGCACGTTCTTGATGGCGGTCGTCTTCAGCAACCTCTTCAGCATGCCCGAAGAGCCGCGATGCTGCAGGCTCTTGTGCGTGGTGAGCGAGTTCTTGGTGCGGTACCTGCGATGGCAGAACTCGCACACGTAGAGCGTGTCGCTCTGCTCGTGCTTGTCCTGAAAGTGCCGCTTCAGCGAGTAGTAGCAGCTGAAGGTGCGGCGGCAGTAAGGGCACTCCTGCGGCTCGTTGATACCGCCGGAAGTGGGCGGTGGCATCCGAATCGGGCCTACAAAATGCGCTGCTGTTTGATGGAGATGAGAGCTGGGTTCATGCGGCGCACACACAGAGCTAGAGGCGATGGCAAGCGCGGGATAGTCAAGGGGGTTTTCGGGTGGAGGTGAAACGGGGGGCATGGCATGCTGAGACGACGATTCCTCCGGCTAAAAGAACTTAATGTCGATGTCGCCCGGTCGCGACTTGTGGTACGTGTATATGTGCGTCATCAGAGAGTTCCTCGAGCAGTACACTCGCTCGCATATCACGCACCGGTACTCTTCCTGTCTTTCCGCGTGCTTATCGGCTATGTGCCTCTTCAGTGAAGCCTTGGAGCACAGCATTTTGCCGCACAGCTGGCAGGTAAAGACTTTTTTCGGCGTGATACCCATGCCTGCAACAAATCTCCTTTCAACTTTTGTCGTTGAGTTGTTGCCACCATGTGTTTCAGTTCTTTTGAGCCGCAGCGCCATCTATGACCGCACACTCGCGATCTCGCCCCCCGTTTTTTTTTTCAAATGTTATTACAGTGCCACAAGACAAAAATCGACCCTGCCAACGGGCCCACGCTCATCATACTTCTTTCAATCAGAAAATATACACAATCATATACTTCGACCTCCATCAAACGGTTTAGGTGTAAATAAATCTTATAAATCTAAAACACGTAAATAGCAAAGCCACAAGCGGAAAAATTTACACCTTAAGCAAAACATAATAAATAACTCTTTATATTACAAGTACAGTTGCCTTACCTATTTGATTGAAAGAAGCACATGATCGACATGTTTGAACATGTAGTGCAAATCGAGTGTGCGGCCCAATGGCATTGCGTCAAAACTACAATTTGATTGGTCCAACACTGTGGTGGCAACACCAACATGTTGGGACTTGATTTTTAGACAATTAGGTAACTTAACATCAAACACAAACAATGGGGCTCGTTTTTTTAAGAAAGCAAAATAAAACCCAAGCGCGATTGCAAATGTAAAAATATATTTAAACATAAATAAAGGTTATACAACAGTACATAAAATATAATAAGGTCCACTTTTTATACGAGATTTGTCAGAGGTGCTAAAATTAATTTTTCGTTTACTGCGTCAAATTTCGTATAAAAAGCAAACACATAATATTGCGTAAAACAACATCGTAACATGCTTTTAAATGCATAAAAACTAATAAGTTAAATACACAGGACCAACTCGGTTTCAATAATAAAAAAAAATGAAAAATCGGGGCTCGCCAAATTTATTTAATTCAAATTCAAAACAATGACAATTAATCAGTCGAAATATCAGTCTTAAAAAATACCGCAAAATTATTATAATTTCAGTCTTCAAACACAAAAATTAAGTCCTGTCCTCTCAGTACTTTTAATTATTATTATTATTAACAAAATACAAAAAAAGTACACATAGCACTAATTATAGTAATAAAATAAACAACATATCGTAAAGCCTCCTTACATATCAATCAGTTCCAACAAATAATACCCTCCAACAAACTCACTATATTTTTTTTGGCATAACAAACAAATATAAAAATTTAATGTACTTTCAGAAAACCCAAACAAATTTAAAATCCAACCACGCGTTCAAAAGTTATAAGCAAAAAAGTACAGTCCCGTCAGAAAAATCGTATACCAACTTTAAAGTGCTATAACTTTCTTATTATCAGTTTAAAAAAATAGTATAAAAACAAAAAATGTTCTACATTTATTGTACTTTAAGAATATCAAAACACAAAAACAATTGAATAACGCGTTACGAAGTTATAAGCCTAATAGAGTCTTCCGTTCCGACAAGGTTATGTTTTTGATGTTATAACTACTAAAGGCGTTTTCATATTGTTTATTTGTTATATTATTATAAAATTAGACAAAATTTAAAACAATTTTCGTTTTTATACCATTACTCTATCTAGTATAATAACAAAGTTATAGTAATTTAAACCAAGGTATACGATTTTATCAACAGGTGTTTAATTAAAAAGTGCTGTAACTTTCTTATTACCACAAATAGAGTCAAATTATAAAAACAAAAAATATTTTAAATTTAATGTAGTTTTAGAATTTTTATACAATAAAACAATTAAATACCCCGTTTCGAAGTTATAGGCCTAAATAGAGTATTGCGTTCAAACAAGGTTATGTTTTTGGAGTTATAACTACTAAAGGCGTTTTTATATTGTTTATTTGTTTTATTATTCTAAAATAAAACAATTTTTATTTTTATACCATCACTCTATCTGTTATAATAACAAAGTTATAGTAATTTAAACCAAGGTATTCGATTTTATCAACACTTTTAATTTTTAAAGTGCTGTAACTTTCTTATTACTAATAACTAATTAAAGTGTAAAGATAAAAAATATTATTAATTTGATGAAGTTTTAGGATATTATCACAAAAAAATAATTAAATAACGCGTTTTGAAGTTATAAGGCTAAATAGAGTTTTGCGTTCAGACAAGGTTATGTTTTTGGAGTTATAACTACTAAACGCTCATTTCAATTGTTTCTTTGTTTTGATATTCCAAAACTAGATAAAATTTAAAATATTTTTTATTTTTATATTGTTACTCTATATTTTATAATAAAAAAGTTATGGTAGTTTAAACTAAATATTCAAGTTTATAGACAAGGCTTCTTGATTTGTTTAATTTAAAGTGCCGTAACTTTCTTATTACTAAAAATAGAATCAAAGTATAAAAACAAAAAGTATTATAAATTTAATGTAGTTTTAAAAAATGTATGCAGAAAAAACTTGAATTAAGCGTTTTGATTTTATAAGTGAGATTGTTTGAGGGCGTTCCTTCATTAATCCATCATTGCTAAGATAAATAATATATTAAATCTATATTGAAATATTTATATATAAAAATCCCTTAACCGTTTTATAATAATAGAATGGAATACTCACATTGACACCTCGTTACATTAAAAAAAATAAACTTTAGAAATTCTATCAACAAAAATATCACAGAGCCAAAATTAAAGAAAGTGGAGTCAATGTAACCAAGATGTAACAATGATGAGTCGTAAGTTATCTCGTTTTAAAATCGCGGGGTTTTGGTTGTAAAATATCACAATTTTTATAAAAATTTACATTTCTAAAATCACAGCCTAGATTTATTATTATTAATACTTTTTTTAATTAATCAATTTTGATTTCTTTTTATGCACCTTTCAGTCTTAATTATACCGAACACCAATTTCATTCATTAAAATTTTTCAATACTTCACCAAGAGGCGCTTAAATATTGCACCTTTTTTATACGGGGTGTTACGAAATTTAGGGCACAAAGCTTTGGGATAAAATAGATTTCTACATACCTTGAAGCTTTGTGGTCGTAGTACGCGTTTTTAATTCGGAAGTATTGCATGCCGTTCCACGATTTTAAAACGAGTTTACATAAAAAAAATTAGTAAGTCTACTAGACTGCTTATAAGACTTTGGCGGGGCGTCACTAAACTATAACAATAATAATAGATGGACTTTAGCCCTAACCCATTGGGTTAAGGCTAGAGTTGCATGGTTAACTTCGAGAAAATTATTTTTGTCTACGATGGTAGATGCTTCTATGATTGTTTAGGGAGTTTAGAGTCCTAAAAACTTTGTTGCATAGCGAGCAAACTGCATTGTTTAGAGGTTGAAGGTGTTGCTGTTCCTTATGCCTTTTCAGCGTTAACTTCGTGCTGAGCAGCTTGCCGCAGACATCGCACCGATGGCTCGAGGACATCGCAGCAGGCGGGAGACATCTCACGGCTGACACCGAGAACAATGAGACACCGTTTTAGTTTTGCCCCGCCAATGATTTTTTTTGCAAGCAAGTCTTTTTTTAGTTTTAGTCTTTTTTATAAGTGTGTGTGTGTTATTTTATTGGGTGTTATACCGAGCACGCACGATCTAAGAGGCATGAAATCCCGATAGATGGCGCATCGCCTCATCTAAATTCCTCTAGATGGCGCTACAACGCGTTGCAACTTCTGCACCATCGAACCTAATTTTTAAACCCTCATAACTTTTTTTTCATACGAGAAAGAGAGTTGGTGTAAAAACAAAAATTATTCCAAATTTATTATAGATTTAGAAAATCCAAACAGAAAAACAATCGAACAACGCGTTCAACAATTACAACCCAAAAAGTAACACAACGTCATTCCAACGAAACACTATTTTGTTAATATCTAAAAACTGACAATTTTTTTTGTTTTTCTGTTTATTAATCCTAAATCTACAATAAAAACAAAAAATTTCTTCCATATACCAACTTTCTATCTTGTATAATAAAAAAGTTACAGCACGACATAAAAACCCAAATAGTGCATCTCAATATAATCCCCATAAAATACTAAAATTATTAAAGCATACTGTACAGAAAGCTCGTAAAAATATTAAAAAACATCCTCATATTTTTTACATTTCCAAGTTAATTTTTTCGTATTGTGCGCCATTTGTTTATATACACGCGATAAATTGAATAATATAATAAAAAACATTTCAAGAAATAACAAAGTATAAGCCTCATACGAGGGTATAAAAATAAATTAAAAGAATTTGTACGTTTCAGAATTAATGGTAGATTTTTAAAGCCTTCAATTTTGATATTTTTATAAGTTTAGTCAGTTACTTTAAAAAAGTACCATTGCATAAAAGGTCCAACCGCCAGTTAAATTTATTCGTTCAGATTCGATTGTGTTATTTGGTCCATTGCTCACTTGTTAGTTAGGGCGTTAAAAATTATAACCAGATAAATTTGGAATAATTTTTAATTTTTTAATATTTTTGTAGGATTAAAGGTTAACAAGTTATAACCTTTCGAAGTAGTGGTAATTATTCTTGTGTGGGGTGTTATAAAACACCCTGTATTTTTAAAAGTATCATAGCTAGAAAAATATTGATAAAACATAATTTGTAGTGGATTTCATGAGCTTTACAATGATGTATAGTTTGTTGAGATACGATAACCCATTAGTGAGTTATGGGCCAAATAACGCACACGTAACAAAGTTACATCATTTCTCCTTAACGTAAACTGGACGTTCTAGAGATAAAACGAGTGCGGTGCGATGATTTCTTCGGCCTTAAGGTTCTTAACGTTCCTATGATAGATACTCTTGTGGTTTCTCAGCGAGTTTAGGCTGCTATAGACTCTCTTGCATATGTTGCAAACTGGCTCCTTCGACGGGCGCATGTGCACGTTCTGTATGTGCCTTTTGAGCCGCGTCAGCGACGACAGGCTCTTATTGCAGGGCTGGCATCGGAAATCTTCAAGGCCTGAAGGCAAACAACAGCTATATAGCCTTTTTTCGGCTCCACCAACGTCTTACGCGACTTTTTTTATTATATACACGCGAAATGTGACGTCCAGCAAGTCAACTGTCAAAATGACAGGTGCGTTAAAAAGAGCATGTTTTACTTAATATGCACAGAAAATCAAAATCAACTGAAAATTGTTCGAGTTACAGACGTTCTAAAAGAAAGGAGTTATAGTTAAGTAGTATGACAATGGTATAACAACAAAAAAATATAAAAATTTAATATACTTTCAGAAAATTCAAACAAATTTAAAATCCAACCACTCGTTCAAAAGTTATAAGCAAAAAAGTAAAGTCGCGTCAGAAAAATCGTATACAAACTTTAAAGTGCTATAACTTTCTTATTATAAGTTTTAGAAAAAAATTATAAAAACAAAAATTGTTTTACAATTATTGTACTTTAAAAATATCAAAAAACAATTGAACAACGCGTTCCGAAGTTATAAGCCTAAATAGAGTCTAGCGTTCAGACAAGGTTATGTTTTTGAAGTTATAACTACTAAAGGCGTTTTTATTTTGTTTATTCGTTTTATTACTCTAAAATAAGACTAAATTTAAAAAAAATTCCTTTTTATACCATCACTATGTCTGTTATAATAACAAAGTTATAATTTAAACCAAGGTATACGATTTTATCAACAGGTGTTTAATTAAAAAGTGCTGTAACTTTCTTTCTACCACAAATAGAGTCAAAGAATAAAAACAAAAAATATTTTAAATTCAATGTAGTTTTGGAATTTTAATGCAATAAAACAATTAAATTCCACGTTTCGAAGTTATAGGCCTAAATGGAGTATTGCGTCCAGACAAGGTTATGTTTTTGGAGTTATAACTACTAAAGGCGTTTTTATATTATTGTTTATTTGTTTTAATATTTTAAAATTAGATAAAAATTTAAAACAATTTATTTTTCATACCATCACTCAATCTGTTATAATTAAAAAGTTATAGTAATTTAAACCAAGGTAATCGAAGTGCTATAACTTTCTTATTACTAATAATAGAATTATAGTGTAAAGACAAAAAATATTAAATATTTAATGAAGTTTTAGGATATTATTACACTATAACAATTAAACAACGCGTTTTAAAGTTATAACTAGTAAATGCGTATTTTATAATAAAAATTCAGCGATTTTAATAAAATTTGTGGGGCGTATAAAAGGTGTACCCAAAAATATACCCTGCAAATTTTATTCCAATCCGATAATTTTTGTGGAAGTTACAGCAATTTTTAAAATCGTTGAGCGCCAAGATAGAACGTTGGGCGCCCTAACTTCGTTATTTATGGGCCGATTTTGACGATTTTTTTGCAATATTTCAAAAAAATTAAGCTCTTTAATAATAGATGACTGTAAACTTGCTGGATTGTCACGCACAGTGGTATAAAGCATAAAAATATATGTTATATTCGGAATGCTCATTTTTTTTTTATAAATTTATACCACTGTTGAACATCACTCACGAGATCATTTTTTGCACTTTTTTTTTTGGTGGTAGTTACAAGTGTGAACTACGAGGCTATTTTTCGTTCTGTAACATCTGTTACATATCGAGCACCAAAATTCTTCGGTCTGCGCGTAGTGCAAGTCTTTCACGTGTCGACGCAGAGTGATCTTGTTGCGCAGCCTTTTCCCGCATATTTTGCACTCCTCTCCCACTGTGCGTACGTCGATTTCTCCTAGGTGAATAGAGAAAATAAATCAAGAATTAGTTGACTGCATTTTTCGTCGTGAAAGTCTAACAAAAAATAATAATAAAAAAGCGGCAGTCAACTAAAACCATTTATTTTCTCTAAAAGCTTCTACTCCAAAAAAAATCCATTCAAACCGCGCGGGTTTTAACACGTTGGGCGCCAATGTGTTTCAAATTTTGCAAACGCATATAATTTTGTGTTCCCCAAAAATTTTATCAAAATCGCTTAGAAATTAACAAATCTACGACAATTTTGAAAAAGGTGGGCGCCAAAATATAAATATCGTAACTTTGTTAGCACTGGTACGATTTTAACGAAATTTTTAGGGTATACTAAAAAAATTACGCTGATTTTCATTATTTCAACAAAATTTAAATCGCAACTAGTAGAGAAAATAAATTAAAAAAAATATTTTCTCTAAAAGCTCCAATATTCATGCTATACACAAATTTAAAATTAAAACTGATATATTTGACGTTTGTGGCGTTCATTTTGGTGTTCGTTTCTGCGCATAATTTTAATAATTTTAAATATAATAATGGCTCCCCAAAAACAAACAAAAAAACACAAAAAACAGGGACAAATGAACATAAAACACACAGTTTAAAAACATTCCTGGACATAACATATGCTATAAAACAAAAAACACTCAACTTTTTAGAAAAAATATATACACAGTTAACAAATTTGAGTGGTACTTGTTTTATAACCTAAAAACAACACTTTATTAAAGCGCTAAAAGTGTCATTTCTAGGCTTTCTATGTGAAAGAATCGTTTCTAATAAGTAAATCAGCTTACCTTGGGAAGTACCGGCGATATCGTTTGGCATAGAGGTATTTAAACCTGGAAGAAACATAGCTTAACATTAAAAAGCAGTTATTTAAATAACTGCCGGGGCCTTTAATATCTTTTATGCAACCGACCACCATTTTTATAGCACGAGTGTTCCAGAAATTACGTGAAACGAAATTTAAACGTCTGTAACTTTTTTCGTATGATAGATAGCGAGTTTGTATTAAAAGAAAAAATGTTTTCCATTTAATTTTGTTTTATAATATTTAAACTAAAAAACAATATAAAAAGGCGTTCAAACGTTATCCATTAAAATGTAAAATGACGTAATTTCAACGAAACGCCATTTTGCTAATATCTTAACCGCACGATATTTTTTTGTTTTTCTGGTCAAAAAATCTAAAGGTTCAGCACAAAACCAATATTTTTTGTTTTTATACCATGTTGTTATTTCAAAAAATAAAAAAGTTATAGAGTAAAATAAAAACTCAAAAATCTGTATAACCGAAACAAATTTCAAAGAGGTGTAACTTTTTTAATATAAATCATAATTAAAGGGTATAAGAACAAAAAATGATTGTTATTCAATCTTGTTTTATAATATTTAAACAAAAAAACAATCAAATAACGCGTTCAAACGTTATAAAGCAAAATGTGAAATGACGAAAACAAAAATTATCAAACCTAAATTCTGGAACACCTGTTTGTTAATATTAGTCCGAAATATGAGAAGTGTTAGTCAAAAAGAACAAAAAAAGTCCCCAATAGACAATTTAAAAAAAAAACAACTTACCCCCTAAATTTGACGGATCGGCGGCTAGGGCGGCCATGCTGAAGTTAAACCCCCCCGCGGCACTGGCAAACAACTTCGTTTCTGGGGTCAAATACGGTCCGATGGGGCTGTCATGGTCGTCATGGTCCCCCCCGCCCCCTGACGACCCCGAATGCGGGCCCTGGGGCAAATTATTCGTCCCCCCGTTGTCAGTGGGCCCGTCCGTACTGTCCGTACTGTTCTCCTCCTGGTTCGTCGAACACATCATGTCCATAGGTTCGGGTTTTATGTTGTTATCGTCGTTCAGTCTGAAAAAATATAAATTTTTGTTAGTTTTTCGAAAAGTGCCTACTTTTATTGGTATACCCTGAAAATTTCATGAAGATCGGATAAAAACTAAGGGAGATACAAGGGTTTTACTGGGGCGCCCAGATTTTTCAATCTGGGCGCTTCAACTTCCACAGTTTTGGTGCGATTTTAACAAAACACCTTTCGTTATAATCACACTCAAATTTGGAAGTTAAAGCGCCCAGTTTGAAAAATCTGGGCGCCCAGATTTTTCAAACAGGGCGCTTTAACTTTCATATTTTGGTGCGATTTTAACAAAACAATTTTCGTTAAAGTCGCACCAAAACTGTGGAAGTTGAAGCGCCCAGTTTGAAAAATCTGGGCGCCCCAGTAAAACCCTTGTATCTCCCTTAGTTTTGATCCGATCTTCATGAATTTTTCAGGGTGTATTAATAAAAATATGCTCTTTTCGAATACTCACTTAGAATTTGGCATTACAGGGGAGCACGGGCTATTTTCCCGATCTGTACTGCTGATACCGTTGCCTTCGATCTCGAATTTCATGTTGGCGCTCATATTTAAATTGTGCGCGTTGTTTTTCATACCGCTGGGCGAAAAATCGGCGGGTTGCGTTTGGGGGGGGTGCATGTGCGACAAATTCAGCTCGTTATTATTGTTATTTCCTAAAAAAGAAATTGTAATTTTTTTCAATCACTGAAAAAAAAATGTATTTACCTATAATATGTTCAGGTCTTAGGCTTTTTTCACGCTCGGGGTCAAGTGATATCCGCCTTTCTCTTCTATGGTGCATGGCAGCCCTTCTCAAAAGTTGATTTACAGTTGGTCCGTGATTTGGGGATGATGGCGATGTGAATAAAACATCCTCCACCAATTTTTCGGTGTAGGATGTGTGATGATTTGTAGTGGGGGTGTTTTGTTGAGATCTGACCAGACCTTGCACCTGCGCAAGCTAAAATAATATTGTTGTCAGTAAATTAAAAAAATTCAAAGGGATGTAACTTTTTTTGCATGAAAGATAGGGGAATGGTATAAGAACAAAAAATGGTCGTTATTTGATGTAGTTTCATAATTTTTAAACCAAAAAACAATCGGTGAACTCGTTTCAACGATACATCCCAAAACGTATAGTGACGTCATTTTGACGAATCACAATTTTGTAATTATATAAAAAACAAGCCGTTTTTTACTTTTTTTGTTAAAATATTCAAAAACTGTACTAAAAAATAAACAATTTGTTTTCCTATATCATCTTTATATTCTTAAAAATAAAAAAGTTATGGCGTATATTAAAAACTCATAACTCATTTAATTTTAAAGTGCTATAACTTGTTTAATAAAAATTATAGAGGTGTGGTATAAAAACAAAAAATGTTCGTAATTTAATGTAGTTTCGGAATATTTACACATAAAAACAATCGAAGAACGCGTTAAAAAGTTACAGCTCAAAATCTAAAGCGACGACATTCTATTTTAAGTATTTCTTGTTGTGGCATGTTTATAATTACCTGATCTCGCTCCTCGGCATGTTGCTGCGTGAGCCCGGAAACCCGGAGTACTTCCGCCGTTTTTAAGAACGACGACAGCGACCTCTGGTGGACGTTCACTTCGCCGTGGTAAATGAATTCAACTAGCGCGTGTAGATCCGTCCAGGCGACATCTTGCAGGACTATCACAGGGTGTTTACAGGGAGTCGACTAAAAAGTTATTAATTAATAACTAATAATTAATTTTATCAAGGTTGTTAAGAAGAGGGCAACTTTTAAAATGGCGGGCGCCATTATTTACAACTTTGTTACTTTTGGACCGATTTCGATAAAATTTTCAGGGTACACTAATTGAAGTACGCCGAATTTATTCCTGTTATCGATTTTTTTCTAATATTGTCGGTTGGCGTAGCATTTTCGATAAAAACCGCATGATAAACAATATGCACAAACAGGATAATAAAAATTGCAAATCGAGTTCAGCGAACTGACACGATAAAAAACGGGTCGTAAATTAAATAAAAAAAGTCAACATTTATGTCTGCGGGAAAATAAAAACGAGCAAATTTGTTTTTATAGAGACGCCTGGCCTATTTTTAAATGCGCTCGGAAAGTGGGATGTCGGGGGAGGTCTGGCAACAGCGCTCGTGGTCGACGGTTTCCGCTGAGCAGCGAGACAGACAGCGAGTGGCCTTGAAAAGGGAAAATCCGACTGACGAAAAAAAAGAAAGGATAACATCCTTACGTATGTTGAAAATGTTTTGGTTGTTTTCGGAATGTGTAACTAACCTTGCCTATATCACGATTATTTATAGCTTTTGTTATCAATTTTTGAGGTTTAGTGTTCGGCTTGTAAATATGCAGAGAAAAAATCATCGAAATCAGGCCACAAATAAAAAAGTTGCAAAATTAGGGCGCTCAAAGAATTGCAATTTTAACGCGATGTAATTTTTGATGACGTCATGAAAAAGAGAGCACTTTTTTCGGTAAACCCCGAAAATTTCGTTTAAATAACACAAAAAATCATCAAAATCGGGCCACAAATGAGAAAGTTGCTTAATTAGGGCGCTCAAAGAATTGCAATTTTAACGCGATGTAATTTCTGATGACGTCATGAAAAAGAGAGCACTTTTTTTGGTAAACCCCGAAAATTTCGTTTAAATAACTCAAAAATTGTGAGGGTTGCAGAGGTTTAAAAAAATGTTGAGCGCCCAGTTGTAACTTTGTTATTTATGGGGCGATTTCGACGAAATTTTCAGGCTTTACTAATTCAAACATGCTGAATTCATTTCTGGAATCAAAAAATGAAAAAACTCACCTTGAGAAGTTCCCTGAAGTAGGGGCTGCAAGCCGACAGTACGACCCTGTGCGCTTTCAAGCTTTTCCCGTCACAGGCCAAAGTGACGTCGACGAAATCCTCATCGTCCCTTAAGTTCTCGAACGCAGACGTTATGCTGCTCTGGTAATTGTTCCAGCGCAAACAAAAGTGCTGTGTGTCGACCATTATTCCAAAATTTATTGTTTACTGTTCCGTCACCTGTTTTCAAAAATATCATGCACCGTTTAACATTGTTGACGACTTCCAACGCAATGCATTTCAGATTGGAGTGGTCAAAATAATAATAAGAATGTTTATCTGTGTTTTGAGTGGATAAGGTTAAATAAGTTTTATAAGGGGGGTATAGATGGAGTGACAAGAGGTTTTTTATTTGTTACAAAGTCAAAACACAATTTGCACGATTTTAGAATGTTGGAAACACTAAAAACTGTTATTTAAACATAAATGAGTAAAAAAATGTTTAGGTACCTTATTGTTAAAAAAAGAAATCACTTGTGTTTCCATAATTTTCACGTTTCCAAAATGTGGCACATGTTTTTGCGGAGAGTCACTTTTTTCCGCGTTTATAAAAAAAAATCACTGAACTGACCGATATGTAAATAGTTAGAGAACCGATTCGAAATTCGAAAACAATGTTAATGCTTTTGGTGGCAAAGTTGACTGAGATGAGTGTTGTGGCGCGGTGTGTTCCGTCCGATATTAAAAATTCATTTGAGCGGGCGCGCTAAAATTTTTTGACGAACTCTCGCCAACCGTTCGCAATGGAATTCTTTATTGGGACAACGGCGCCGCTATGAGACATCTAGAGTAATAAGCCCGCACTAAAAAATAGTGCGTATGCCGACGCGGCTGCCGCCCCCCCCTTCGCCGCCCCCAATGAAAATGCGCAGAATAACGAGTACAGAGCCGCAATTAAAAATATCAAAATAAAAAAATCGAACTTTACAAAAGCTCGGCCGCGTACGCGCCCCTCCACTTTTTATTCCCGCCTCTCCGCCCCCGCCGCCGCCGCCGCTTTACACATCCACGTTCCATCCCCTTCTGGCTTCATAGAGAGAGTTTTACTCTCTACTCCCGCGCTCTTTGCTACTACACGCTTTTTTCCCGGCCCGGACAAATAAAAAACTAACGCGTTTTTTAAAATGTCACTTTCTACTTTTATACTGCCGCAGGAAAAAGTTCAAAATTAACTAAATGCATGTTTTATACACACAAAAATACAAAATGTATACAAAAATTTTAATAAATTAATAAGTATGAACAAAAACACTAATTTTACATTTTGGCGCCCAACTTCATTTTATTACTGTAACTTTAACAATTTTAATTCGATTTAAACGAAAATTTCAGGGTATACTAAATGAAATGCGCTGTTTTTAAAACTTATTGGAAAATTAAAATCGCCTCATAAATAACAATTGGCGCTCAACGATTTACAAATCTTGCTGTGTATTAGAAATTTTTAGGATATACTGGCAAAATTAAGCCCATTTTTAATCGAACACCCTGAAAATTTCATTAAAATCGCACCACGATTAACAAAGACACGATTTTGACATTTTGGCGCCCAACTTTTTTTATCATCAAAATACCGTAACTTTGACAATTTTAATGCGATTTTAACGAAAATGTCAGGGTATACTAAATGAAATGTTTTTTTAAACTTTAGAAAATTAAAATCGCCTCATTAATAACAATTGGCGCTCAACGCTTAAAAATCGTGCAATTTAAAATAAATTTTTAAGGTATACCAACAAAATTAGCTTCATTATAAAGTGCGTGTTTTCTATGGTAGGTATACCCTACCATAGAAATCATCAAAATCGACACACTATTATTAAAATATATAAAATTTTGACATTTTGGCGCCCAACTTTGTAAATTAAGAACAAACATTGAAGTAAAATTATTTCCCGTTCAACTAACCCATATCGACTCGAACAATAAAATAAATAAATAAATAATAATTGGGCTCAACGATTTACAAATCTTGCGATGTATTAGAAATTTTTAGGGTATACCGTCAAAATTAAGCACATTTAAAAAAGCGCATTTTTAATCGAACACCCTGAAAATTTCATCAAAATCGCACAACGATTAACAAAGACACAATTTTGACATTTTGGCGCCCAACTTTTTTGATCATCAAAATACTGTAACTTTGACAATTTTAATGCGATTTCAACGAAAATGTCAGGGTATACTAAATGAAATGCGATGTTTTTTAAACTTATTAGAAAATTAAAATCGCCTCATCAATAACAATTGGCGCTCAACGTTTAAAAAATCGTTAAATTTAAAATAAATTTTTAAGGTATACCAACAAAATTAACCTAATTATAAAGACACACTATTAGGAAAGATACAATTTTGACATTTTGACGCCCAACTTTGTAAATTAGGAACAAACATTGAAACGATATTATTGTATGTTCAACTAACCCATATCAGCTTAAAAACAATAAAAAAAGCAAAAAAACATTGTGTACATACAAGCATAAATTCGATTTAAAAATGCAGCGCTGGCTGTGTATGTGCCGATTTATTTTTAAAACAAATAAAAAGAACTTTCGGTTTCGCTTCATTCATGAAAAAACCTTTTTCACTGAAAACTCAACGTGTGGATGCACATTCTATTTTTTATTTCGCACTCGCTGAATTTTTAAATTGCACAAGCGTGAAAGTGAACTTTCGATTTTTCAACTCACTTTTCAGTAAAAAAGAGTTTGGTGTAAAATTAAACACCCTGTATGTTAAGCATAATTCGCCTTAACTTTGCAGTCTTTAAAAAGGTAAAATATGTATATTCAAAACATGTAGATAAAATAGTCGAAAATTTGACCTATTGACATGTTTCTCGAAATATTTTTCATAACATTAATTTTCGACCTTCACTGTTAAGTCACATTGCAAGTTAGAAATAGCGAATATCGTGTATAGGTCATGGTTTAATCCCAGTACGGTGTGAGATATCGACCAGATGAGATAAGAAAATCTCGAAAGAAAACATATGTAAGGATTTAGTTTAAATTTGTTCTGGCAATACTAAACACCTTGTATATTTTTGTATAAATAAAAACACCTCTGGTAAATGCATAAACAACCCTCTTAAAATACGAAATCTTACGACGATTCATATCCGTAAAATAATTAATTTTTGATTAACTTTCTTTTTCTGGTTTTCCAACCCTAAATTTAGGATGTAAGGGTGGAAAATTCTGGTAAAACCATAAGAATTTAAAGCATTTTACCTTCTCCAAAAATTAATTTTTTTTGATAAAAAATTGGACGAGATATGAAACAATAAAATTATAATATTACTCACAATTTACTCAAAGAAATCCTCTATATTTATTAGGTATGCACTGTACAATTAAATTTGTTTAACTGTTTTGTTCAATGATTGGAAAAAATGAGTTCACATCGTTTATTAATAGTTATTTACTTGAATAAGTGACAAAAAATAAAAGTATCAGGATTGTTTTTCTACTAGCGCACCTAATATTGTTTGTGTTTAGCATAGTTTTTAACAACAATACGATTTAAATGTTTGTTGACCTAAAAATTTGGAAAAATATTTGTCAGTGAATTATAATTTTTAAAGGAATTATAACTTGGGTGGAAGTTGAATATTTCTTCATACAGAAGGAAACTAACTATTGGTTTAGAGGCGGGTCTAATTATATCGATTTTATCTCCACTATTTGTGCTTCATATTTTTATTGGGGACGATATTTACGTTTCTGTGGAGTGAACAATTTCGGAGGATTCTATCAACGTTTTTGGGGTTTATGATGATTATATGATGAGCCTAATTTTGTCGGTATACCATGAATAATACCGATGTTATGGCGATTTTTCTAAAATTTGACAGATTGGCGCCCAACTTTTTCTATTTTTTAAATTCTTCATGTCTTTGTTGATTTTTGGAGTGCTTATTACAAAAAAAGATTTTTTTTTAATTTTATTTAATTATTCATATCTTTGTTAATTTTTGGAGTGCATATTAGAAAAATAGTCATTTTTTTATTTTATTAGTATTGTTAAGAAAATTGCGCTTAAAAAAATGATTTAAGTCGGAATTTTTACAAAATTAATTTATATAATTTATCAAAAAATTATGTTTTTTTAAGTGTGCCAATTTTGTCGGTATACTATAAGAAATACAGGTGTTAAAGGGATTTTTCTAAAATTTGACAAATTGGCGCCTAACTTTTTCTATTTAATTAAATTCTTTACATCTTTGTTGATTTTTTGGAGTGCATATTACAAAAAAGTATTTTTTTTTAAATTTTTGTTAAATTTGTTAAAAAATTGCGTTCTTAAAAAAATTTAATTTCATAGTATAAAGGTCCGTAATTTTTTTTAAATGTTTTGGATTTTAATAAAATTTATATGATTTATCAAGAAAATGATGTTTTTTAAGTGTGCCAAATTTTGTCGGTATACTATAAGAAAAATACAGGTGTTATAGTGATTTTTCTAAAATTTGATAAATTGGCGCCCTACTTTTCCTATTTTATTAAATTCTTTATGTCTTTGTTGATTTTTGGAGTGCATATTACAAATTAAGTAATTTTTTTTTAATTTTTGTTAAATTTGTTAAAAAAAATTGCGTTCTTAAGAAAATTTAATTTCATAGTAAAAAGGTCTGTAGTTTTTTTTAAACGTTGAGATTTTCATAAAATTAACATGGTTTATCAAGAAAATTGTGCTTTTTTAAGTGAGCCTAATTTTTTCGGTATACCATTAAAAATACAGGTGTTATGCTTTTTTAAGTGAGCCTAATTTTGTCCATATACCATAAAAAATAGAGGTGTTATGGCGATTTTTCTGAAATTTGACAAATTGGCGCCCAACTTTTTTTTATTTTATTAAATTAAAATTAAATTATTAAGTATTTGTTGATTTTATTACAAATAGTAAATTTTTTTAAATTTTATTAAAAATGAAATTTGATAGTAAAAAGGTCTGTAATTTTTTTTAAATATCGGGATTTTTATAAAATTTACATGATTTATTAAGAAAATTATGCTTTTATAAGTGAGCCCAATTTTGCCTGTATACCATGAAAAATACAGGTGTTTTAGCGATTTTTCTAAAATTTGAAAAATTGGCGCCCAACTTTCTTTATTTTATTAAATTCTGTTGATTTTTAGAGCGCATATTACAAAAAAAGTGATTTTTATAAAAATGGTTATCAAAAAAATGTTTAATTTGATCATCATTTTTTTAATAAGATCTGTAGGTATCTGTAATTTACATGATTTATCAAGAAAGGTGTAAGAGCGATTTTTCTAAAATTCTACAAATTGGCGCCCATATTTTTTAATTTTATTAAATCCTTCATGTCTATGTTAATTTTGAAATTTTATTTCTCCAGTAAAAAACCTTGAAGGCACCTGTTACAGGTAAGATTTACCTTATTTCTTTATTTTCCACTAATTAAATTTTTGTATGCGATAAAAAAATACGTCATTAGATGCTTAATTTAGAAAATCGTTCAGGGTTACCACGACGGGGGGGGCGTAAAGGGGGGTTAAAGGCGGAAAGAAGGAATAGCTGAAAAGTATAATCGATAGTTGCGAGCTTTTGCAATTTTTAATTGCCCGCGCCTATGCTAATGAGCGCGGGCCCCCCTGCCCTCCCGGGCCCCGCTGGGCCGCCGAATTACCCCCAAAAAATCATTACATTCTTCGCGAATTTGGCCCGTCGCTTTTGCGCCGCGCACTCACATTTTAATTCCGCTCATAGAGAATAAAATATACAGTCCTCCTCCCCCAGTAGTGTAGTGCGAATCGGCTATACATTTTTCCTACTTCGCCGGGCCATATTTTATTGATTTTATAATCAATACCGCAATAAAACCTGCAATGTTTTCATCTTTATTTTCAGCATCCCCGCACAACATTCGTCGCTACTACCGCCCCCGTGCCCCGCCGCCCCTGCTTTTTATATCCCCTCCACCGATTTTTCCTACCCCCTGTGTGTTTACTACACAACCCTGTCCACCTGAGATACACCGAGCAGATTGACACAATCATTAGTACGCGTTCATCTCCATCTACCAGCGATTTGCGAAAAAACAAAAGACTGTGCGCAAAAACCGACAACGTCATTTGAAAGAACACACTGTTTTTTATATACACACGAAAAATTACATTAAAAGCATAAAAATTAACAAAGATATGACATAATTAAAAATAAAATAAAAAAAGTTGGGCGCCAATTTGTCAAATTTTAGAAAAATCGCTATAGCACCTGTATTTTTAATGATGTACCGACAAAATTAGGCTAAATTAAAAAAAATTACAGACCTTTTCCTATGAAAATAAATTTTTTAAAACGCAATTTTTTTAACAAATTTAATAAAATTAAAAAAAAATCTTTTTTGTAATATGCACTCCAAAAATCAACAAAGACATGAAGAATTTAATAAATAGAAAAAGTTGGGCGCCAATCTGTCAAATTTTAGAAAAATCGCTTTAACACCTGTAATTTTCATGGTATACCGACAAAATTAGGCTCACTTAAGAAAGCATAAATTTTTTGATATACCCTGTAAATTTTGTAAAAATTCCGATATTTAAAAAAAAGTTACAGACCTTTTTACTTTCAAATTTATTTTTTTTAAGAACGCAATTTTGGTAACAATTTTAATAAAATTAAAAAATTACCATTTTTGTAGTATGCACTCCAAAAATAAACAAAGACATGAAGAATTTAATAAAAAAGGAGAAGTCGGGCGCCAATTTGTCAAATTTTAGAAAAATCGCCATTGCACCTCTATTTTTTATGGTATATCGACAAAATTAGACTCACTTAAGAAAGCATAAATTTCTTGATATACCCTGTAAATTTTGTAAAAATTCCGATATTTAAAAAAAAGTTACAGACCTTTTTACTTTCAAATTAATTTTTTTTAAGAACGCAATTTTGGTAACAATTTTAATAAAATAAAAAAATTACTATTTTTGTAATATCCACTCCAAAAATAAACAAAGAAATGAAGAATTTAATAAAATAGGAACAGTTGGGCGCCAATTTGTCAAATTTTAGAAAAATCGCTATAACACCTGTATTTTTCATGGTATACCGAGCTAAGCCTTATTTTCTTGATAAATCATGTAAATTTGATAAAAATCCCTCTATTTAAAAAAAATGACAGACCTTTTTACTATCAATTTTTTTTTAAGAACGTAATTTTGTTAACAATTTTAATAATTTTATTATTACTATGTTTGTAGTATGCCCTCCAAAAATAAACAAAGACATTTAATTAAATAGGAAAAGTTGGGCGCCAATTTGTCAAATTTTAGAAAAATCGCTCTAACCCCTGTATTTTGCATGGTATACCGACAAAATTAGGCTCATTTAAAAGGGCATACTTTCTTGATAAACCATACAAATTTTATAAAAATTATGAAGCTTTTATACAAACTACAGCCATTTTTTAATAGCATATTTATTGTTATCTTAATGAAAAATCCCCATACTTTTAATTATTCAATATGCATAATAGTTTTTTACCCCTTCAACTTGTTTGCATCTATAATTTTAACAATCTGTGCACCAGCCACCCTTTTTAACGCACCCCTTTACTGCACTAGGGTTGCAAAACTCGACATTAGCGAACTTTATTATTCGATATTTTGACCAAAAATGTACATTTCTGGAGATATAATGCATTTACCCCTTAATTATTGGTCGATATACAATAGATTTCCAAAAGGCGTTTTAGGGGTTGGCTAGAATATAATTATATTAACATTAGATCCCCATAGAATAGGCGTATAATAGAGCAATCATTGACAAATGGTAATGATAGTTATTATTGAATTAACCCCAGTGTTGTATTGGATAAATAAATAGTTATTTAGAATGCAAATGAATACATTTTAATGATAATTGTGTTTTTGACAAAATCAGGAAATATTTAATACCTATGTGCACTCACCAAGTAAAACATTTTAACATTGTATTACACAGATGCAAAACTAAAAAACTAATAATAAAAATTATTTCTGCATACTTTATCATTAAGTAAATATTTAGATTGCGTTTTTTATCTCTCTTATATTTAGTTGGTAGTATTTTGCGAAAAAAAATATATAATTTTTTTTAATTGCCTGTGTTTTGCCAAATTCCAACTGATAAGTGGAAGTTTGTTTAATTTTATAGATAAAAATAGTTTTAGATAAAAAATTTGCTTGATTGCAAATATTTATATAATATTTTTATCTGGACTGGATATTAATATTAGAGTATACCATTTTTGATGAGAAATTATAAAAAATAAAAAATATCTTAAAAAATTGTTGAGTACAATTTTAATATTTCTTGTAATATGAACTCCAAAAAACAACAAAGACATTAAAAAATTAATGAA